TCTTGAGGTTTGCTTGTAGTGCGAGTCTGTAGCTCTGGGTGCGCTCTGGCTGAATCTCACCGTTGATCCTTTGAGATTTGCCTTTGGTACCTCAGCTGGGGAAGAGCAATTACTGCCACAGAGACTGGAAAGCGGTTCCCTGTTTAAGTGGTGACCAGTAACAGCGCTGTGTGAAAACTCCAGGATGAAACAAGGATGTTGTGGAGTTCATGTTTTGGCTGTGGAACTGGGCTTCCCATGTGAAAGTTGTATCCCATAGGGGATTTGTGAGCTGTAACTTTAAGGACTTTGACACATGTTGCCATGTGTCAGATCCTGAAATCATAGTAAGTACTACTGTCCACTGCAAACTGAAATCAGGATTTGCTTTAGCAGCCTCTGGAGTGTTGACTGCTACCAGGTTGTTTTGGAGATGTTTTTGTCATTCTGAAGTTCTTGTACAGTCTGTGGAAAAGCAGCTTTGTCCTATACCTAAGAAAGGCCAAGCAAGAGAGGATGAGTCTGGAAGAAGCTATCAGATTTTCCCTTCGAACAGTGTTCCTTGCTCTCTGGCACCTAAAATGCAGGGTTTCAGAAATTTGGGCTTCTGAGTTCCAGGCCTCATTCTGCACTAGTTTCCTGTTTGATTATGAGAAATTACTTCCCTTCTAGCTGTTGTCTGCCTTGTAAAATGAGGCTAATGACACTGTATTTGGCATAGAAAGCTGAAAAACTAACTTCTAAAGTGGCAGAAGTGCTCGGTTGGAAGCTGAGTAGAAGAGCAGAGTATATTCTTTCTGCTGTGTTAAGTATCTGGCTCTGACACGTCATTTATCAACATTATACATGTTTTGTCCTCTAAAAATTGCAGGTTCTTATCCTTAAGGGTCTCAAGCAGGAGGTCAGTTGCCTCTGCCCCTCTCCAGATGGGTTGCATTTGGCTGTTGGGTATGAAGATGGATCAATCCGTGTCTTCAGCCTCCTAAGTGGAGAAGCGAATATCACCTTCAACGGACACAAGGCTGCAGTTACAGCCCTGCAATATGACCATCTGGGTGGCAGGCTGGTATCTGGCTCAAAGGTGAGGGTTGCACATCTGGAGAACAGCCCTTTCATAGAGATGGTCTATGGAGAAGACTGACTTGCACTAAAATGTTTATATTTTAAGTGGGTTATGTGGACTCTACCTATAGCTAGAGGATGGCAGTGAGAGGAGTTAGGGCTGAAAGACAGCGAATAAGTTGGGGAGCCCAGGGCTGGGAGAGCAGCAGGGGCTGCAGGGCAGGAGTGGGGTATGAATAGAGCTGTTAAAGTGAAGAAGCTTGGGAGGTCAAGAATATCAAAAGCGACTCAAGCTGGGTCAGAGGTGCATTTATTGGTCTGAATGCACCTTTAGGGAAGGAATGTCACTTATATTAATCATCCCTGACATTCAAGTTCAGAGTGAGAAAGTATGCGCTCAGGTAATCTTTTCAGTCTCGTAGAAGAAGTAGACATTTTACAGAGACAAATGCCAGTCCCTTGGAGACACTCTGTCTGTTCCAGGATACAGATGTCATTGTGTGGGATGTCATCAATGAGAGCGGTCTATACCGGCTGAGAGGACACAAGGATGCTGTCACTGAAGTCCTTTTCTTGAAGGAAAAGAACCTGTTGGTCACCAGGTGAGCCAGGCTAAGTATAGTGGTTGATCAGGAAAGCAGCCATGGTTTTACTTGCAATTTAGACATCTTGGATGCTACAGCCATTTGCTTTTTCCTTCTTGACTCATATCTCAGACCCACCAGCATCTTAGAATATGATTTTGTCATGTCCACATATTTCTTAAGTCCGGTGCCTGAATCCAAATGTGGTAAACAAAACTGAAATGTCTATCCTGAAAAATAGTGTTTGGAAAAGGATTTAACTTGCTGGTAAGTATAGCAACTTAAAATTATTATAACAAGGAATAGTGATAATATGTTCATTATGTATGTAACCGTTTTTGCTGTTTATGTTGAAGAATTAAGCAGACTTACCTTATGTATGTGTAATTCACACAGCAATGTGACAGAAAAATTGCTTCCTAGTAAGCTGTAATTACAGGAATTAAGTAAAAGATGATAAATGTTTTTTTGAGTTGGTTTTTAGTTATTCAGCATGAACTGCTAGTTGACTGTATGTATCCCTTTAATAATAAATGGTTGACAGAAGATACTTTTGCTCAAATATCAGTCAATTTTTCAGTTATTAATGTGTCATCTAATAGCTTAATAGAAAAGTGCATGTAATCATTTCAGTGTAAAATTAGAACAAGCGTCTTGTGCTTTTTTTGTTGTTTCAAATGGAAAAAGTAGTGTTTTGTTGGTTTGGTAGATGATGCCTGTTTCTTAATGCAATTTCAAGTCTTTGCAGGTCAGCTTTAGAAATGTTTCTTAATTCAGTAGCTAAATTGAGATAAAAAATTCCTCTTTTTTTTAGTAACAGAGTAGAGATGTTATCCTTTTTTGGAGGTGCAAAGTTTCACTTCCTTACTTCAGACTCGTTTTTGACCAAAGCAGCTAACTGCAGTCCTTTGTGATTTTTTTTTTGCGTGATATTTTCGTATGTCCAATTTATAAGTAACCTTTGGATCCTATGTAAAAAAAGAGATAGATTAACAATGAGTATCACTTGTAATCAGAATTTTTTTGTCCTGGGGGAACTTCATAATGGAACAAGTTTTATATTTTGATTTCTTGAAACTTACTGAGGAACACAGGCTCCAACAAAGTTACCAAAAATAAAAAGTATTAATTGTTGTAGAGTGTACTGAAAGAATATCTATAAATGTTCAAATTACTCTTCTTGGGTGCTCTTGTAGTACTGGGGTAGCATAATATAGCCAGAAATGCGTTTTCAAGGAGATCTAATCCTACGGGGGCTATGAAGGACTTGAAACAGCTGTAATTTTCCATTAGGAGGAGCAGCTCCAAATCACTGTTCAAAATGAAGGAATCTGCTTTTCTTGTAGGCTGGTCAATGCACAGGTGTGGCACAGGTTGAGAATGAGGAGGAGGGTTTTAGAGGCAGCTTTAGAATTGATCAGCGCTTTGTGCTTATTGTTCTCACCCTAAGTAAAGCCTATTGTTCTCACTCTAAATAATTGAGGAAGGACACTATGTGACACTGGGGCTTGCTGCTGAATCCAGAGGAGGAAGCTGTTTTCAATGACTTGCTAGATACCTTTTTTGCGGTACCTTTGTATTGCTATACTTTGTTCTGCATAGCTTGCGAAATTCAATGTCTGAGCAGCTGCTCTGCGATATGTTGTGGCATGTTTTAAATTTTTTGTATTTCTACCGCTTTTCTAAGCACGTGAGCTCTGGCAATCTTTCCTCATGTCTTGAGTTTTTCTTCTTTGTTCCAGCGGCAAAGACACATTGGTGAAATGGTGGGATCTGGACACCCAGCACTGCTTCAAAACTCTGGTTGGACACCGTACTGAGGTAAAGAGGATGTCTGCGGAGCTGTTGGGGTTGGGAGGGACTTTGGATTACATGTTATGGCTCACTTTGTGCTTTCCCTGCTCTCAGGAGTTGTGAACAGGCACTGTGATATGTTTTTCTTGTCATTAGGCTTTAGGGGTGAGCAAATGAGACACTTCCAATCTTTCCAGGAGCTTTCATCAACATGCAGTGGGTGACAATTCCAATACAGATGTTCCTGGAGGAGGTCCCAGCTAGATCCAGTCTCTTCTTGGTTGCTGTTTAAATAAATCAATTAAAGATGCTTTGTTGTTGTTATGATAGTTAAAGGAGCTTAAGCCGGTTCCTCACATTGTACCTCTGGACAGGTTTGGGGGATGGCTTTGATATCCAAAGAGAAGCGTCTCATCACTGGGAGTGCTGACAGTGAGCTGAGGATGTGGGATATCACGTACATCCAGGAGGTAAGGTACTCCCTCTGTAACCCCTCACAGTCTTGCCCAGCTGCTTCTCTTTGCACTAGGATGGGACTGGAACCTGTTAAATCTGATTGATGTTCTGGGAAACAGAGCCAAAGCAATGTCTTTGCTGTCTGAGGGGTCCAGAAGCTGCTCTTGGGATATACCTTACCATGTTCTGTGTTTTGAGCTTTCATGTGAAGCTGTGAGCACATCTAGAATGAGATTTCCAGAGTGTGTCAGATTTTCCTACCTTCTGGCTTATGGCTAAAGAAGACAGTCGTGTGGGTGTATGATAAGCAGGGGAGGATGTGGAGTGTTTTGTGCCTACAAGCACACTCCTTTGTTGCAGTGTGCACTAACCAATTGTTCCTCCAGTGAAATGATGTGTGAGTGAGACAGAAACCAGAACACCATAGCTCTTGTGGTTTAAGGTACCCCTTATGGGTTTTTTTTGTCTGTGAACAGGTAAAAGACCCTGATGAACCAGAATCCAAGAAAAGCAAAGGGTCTTCACCTGGAGCAGAAGAAAACACTGAAGAGGATGAGACCCTAGAGTTGGATGAGCGTCCTGAGGAAGTAAGCTGTTTTCCCTGCTGTATGTGGGATGGTGTCTCTAACCCTCTCATTTGCATGGTGCTGCTAGCAGAGCCAGCAGGAGTTTGAGTTACTCACATTGCTTCTCTGTATTGAGTTTATACCCTGAGTGTCATATTTAGCTTGTTAGGGAAAATGCAGTAATTCTTGTCTTGCTTCATAACATGTTCCTCAGCAGCAGCAGCTGCCTCATCTACCTGCAAAACATCAGCAGAAGTATGTGCCAAAACGCATACATGTTATTCTCCACTAAAAGCTTTTTTTTTTTGCCTTCTGTTTGGGGAGGATTAGCAAATGTTTGAAGTTTGACAGTGCTAACAGAGCTCTTTCATCAAACAACATGCAATAAAATAGCAGCTGCCAATGAGCTAATAACTGAGTTCAGTGCTGATGCTCAGCTTTGCAGGTCAGTAGTAGAAGCTGAGATCAGAGTTGCACCATAACAAAATATGATCTGAAATTGGATTGCAGAAAGCCATTCCCACTTGTGCTGCTGGTACAGACTTTACTGAATCTGTCTTTCTGTTGGAACTTTCTGGGGTCCTGCTGAGATTTCAGACTGGTTGTAGTTATGGTAGATACCTGACCTTGTTAAATACTTTTCCAACTTCCTCTCCAGACGATTTCTCTCCCTTCAGCCAGCCCACCCGTTCAAGTGTCTTTGTTCTCACCTCTGCTTATTCTGACAGAGGAACTGAGCTCTGCTGCCTTTGTAGCATAAAAATTCAGCTCTGTCCCTTAAATGGCTATGGTTTGCCAGAAAAGTTAAGTTATTCTTCCACTGAGACTGTCAATGATTATTTTCAGCTAAAATGCAACAAAACACGAGATAAGCATTTGTGTGAGCTACAGGCTTGTTTTGTCCCTAGATTATCCTTGCTATGAGATAAGCCTGTAGCTCACACAAATGCTTGTTTTGTCCCTAGATTATCCTTGCTAGCTGTTCTGCCAGGACCCTGTAGGTTCATTTCCCACTCTTCTCTTGACTTCCCTTGCTGGTAGGTTTCTGAGTTTGCTTGAGAAGATCACTTGACCTTTCGGACCAAAGTTGTTGTTCTTTAAAAAAAAAATAGCGCCTCGTAAAGTGCACCAAGATTGGATCTATCATGCGGGAAGGGAGAGACCGAATAGTTACTCTTGCCACAGACCAAACGGGCAAGGTTTTGGCCTGCCATGTAAGTAATGGGGGGCTCTGCTGTTGAGCTGTAAGGGAGGCTGTTAGGACCTTGGGTAATTTCTGTAAGGGCCAGCCAGGGCTTTGCGTGCCTTTGACTTTGCTCTGTCTTTAGGGAACAGATGCTGTTCTGGAAGTGTTCTCTGTCCTTTCTGAAGAGGAAATCCAAAAAAAATTGGAAAAGAAAATGAAGAAAGCAAAGAAAAAAGCCAAGTAGGCAATCTTTTGGGTGTATTTGGGTGCTGTCTGTGTCCAGAGAACAGTTAGAAAAGCCCTTCAGCAGCATGACACAGTGGTTGAACTCCAAGCTATTGGTCATTCTGTCTGTGCTAGCTATTGTATTTTGGGGTCACTGTTCCTGTGCATCCTTGGTGCTTGTCTGAGCAATACTACTCCCAGAGACTAAGGAAATGCCTTTCTTTCCAAGTCATTCCCCTGCAAAAAAAGTTAATGTGTGCAAAGGAATGGACATAAAATGAGTTTTTCAGAGCTGCTCACTTCTACCTGGCATTTGTATTTATACTGCTTGGTGCATCAAATAGAGTCCTTGATAGGACGTACAGGAGTGAGAGTTTCATCTGAGTGACTCCGATACCTCATCTCCTGTTTTACAGCAGGCAGAGATACAGATGAGAGCTTTCTTAATGTTTACTTTGTGTTAAGTGTCTCTCTGAGTATCATGGCACTTAACAGATACTTCACAACAGCTCTTAGGGAGAGGTCTGGCTCCAGGGTAGTATCTGAGGCACAGGGCATGTAAATTTGGAGATGCATTTTGGCAATGCCTGAGGACTTTTGGTGAGTGGTAGGAGATGAGCAGAAGCTGATCTCCTCAACACAGCTTTCTGTGGTCTGTTTTGTATCTGTCTTTCTAAAGTGCCTTGTTCAAGTGCTTTGGCTCCAGAGGAGGTTGCGTTTTTTTTTAGGACAGTTTGTCTCTTTAGTAATCTGCATACCAGCATGAACTTCACTGTCTCATCCTGTTCTTAAATGTAGTTAGTACTACTGGATAAAAGGGCAGTTGTTTCCTTTTGTTTGTCTCTGTGTGTTGGCTGTGCTCGGTTATTTGACTCTCTTCCATTATCTGATGTTTCTAGACAGAACTCTGAAGAGGAGCCTGAAAGTAGTGTGGAGCTGAGCCTGCAGGAGGAGATTCAACGGGTCATTAACATCAGAGCTTCTTCTAAAATCAAGTGAGTGGAAAGCCTGTTGTAGAGGCTGAGCTGTGGTTATGCAGGTACTTGCAGAGAGCTCTGCATAGCTCAATATATGGAGAGGTAGAAGAAGTTTCCCCCTCGGCATCTGCTCAACTTGGAGCTGGGAGAGGCCTACTATGATCTCCAATTCATTCACACCTCTTCCACAAATGGTCCCCTCCTTGCACACCTCTGTGGCTTAGTGTGCACTTTCTTGCGGCATGCACTCTGTGTTCCTCTTTCTCAGTTCTTGATATTTGATCTCTCCTATGTTTTGTCTTATTGCCCCTGTGTACAGCTCTGATTTTGTCTAATCAAACAGGTCATTTGACTTGATTCTCTCTCCAAAAGGAGAGCTGAAGATTGTACTGCTGCTCCAGAACAACATCATTGAGTCGTACAACCTGAACCTGTCAGCACAAGTCCCACAGGCTGTCCGTGCATCCAAGATAACCATTGGAGGCCACCGCAGTGATGTCAGGACGTTGGCTTTTAGCTCTGACAACATTGCCATTCTCTCAGCAGCCGCAGAGTCTGTAAAGATTTGGAACAGGTATGCAGTCCAGTTGTCAGTCCCCTGTGCCCTACGTGTGTCAGTCTCCCAGAACTCAGGGAAGCTGTGTTCAGAGAGGCAGTGCTAAGGAAGAAGGGACGATGGAGAAATATGAAATAGTGAAGGAAGTAAAGGAAGTAAATAGAAAACTACTTGACTTCTTTCCTTATTAGGGAAACTGAGAAGATCTAGAGCTAAAACTGCATAATTAACTCTTGGAGTTTGATGCTGCAAAGCAGCACCGAGGCTAATTTTAGTGGCACGTATGGAAAGACACATCTCTAAACAAAAAGATCATGCACAATGGTCTGGTATAGACAGTATTTTGTTGTTTTGGGGTTTTTTTCCTTTTTAATAAGAGGTACTGTTACCCTAAAGTAGCTACTGCCTGTTCTTTAGGGAACATGTGGGTTTCTTGGCATCTTATCTGAAGGATCTAGTATTAGACTGAGTAGGCTACTGTTTTGATCTAGAGTGTTGTCCCAGTGTTTCCTGAGTGGGGGCAATTTCAAGCTCTGTTTCCTTTGAGCATGCTATCTTATTGTCCTTCCTCCTCTCCTGAATGACAGGAATTGCTGTTTGGGAACAAGAGCACTGTCCTTGCTCCTAACAGCAATAAGTCGTGGTGGTGGACTGTGTAGTGGCATGTTTTTATGGAAAATGTTCTCAGCAGTAATGCTGGATAGCATTTGGGTCATAGGATGGTGGTGGTGCATCTCCTGGCCTCAGTTGAATAGATAGCTGTGGGCAGGGGACACTCTGGAGCATGTCTTGCTTAGTGGGCCAGATTTTGTTGTGATAAGAGGTTTTGGGCTCTGACTTTGTCTGCAGATCAACCTTGCAGTGCATCCGGACAATGGACTGTGAGTATGCACTCTGCTCGCTCTTTGTCCCAGGAGATCGGCAGGTCATCATTGGCACCAAGGTAAATAGTGTCCTTCTGCACTGCAGACTGCCCAGGTCTGGAAATATGTTGTGAAAATATCATTAAGGCAGCCTTATAGAAAATGCATTGCATCTCCTGTTCTGCAGCACTCTGTTTTAGGTGTAAAAAGCTCTGACAGTCAGGTTCTGCTCTGTTCTCTGACTGTGTAGCTGTCGTGGTTTGAGCTGGACAGCTGGGTAGAGCTTTGGGAAGTCCCTGATGGAGACCAGGCCATCTGTGTGTAACAGCCATCTAATGAAGCTGGCTGTTTGGGAGGTGGGTGGCAGGGGTGCTCTCCTGCTAGGAGCTGTCGTATGTCGTGAAGGTGGAGGGGCTGATTTGTCCTCTGTGATGTATCTTTCTCCCCAGACAGGGAAGCTGCAGTTGTATGACCTGGCTTCTGGGAGTCTGATAGAGTCACTTAATGCTCACGACGGGGCAGTGTGGTCCATTGCTCTTTCACCAGACCAGGTAACTCGGCCACCCTTCTAAGTATCATCTGTTGCATGTCTTTTCACGTAGCTCCTTCCTATAGTGCTGTGTTTGACCTACTGATGGGAGCATGGGAGCTCCTCATCCTGGGAGGTGGAGGATGCAGCTGGTAGTGTCTGAGAACTTTAACTGTGGATACATGCACATCTTGATGAAATATCTCTCTAGTTGTGTGGCACATGGCAATGAGTTTTTGGGCTGAGTGAGAATATCGTTGTCACCTCATCTGGCTTCTGCATGATTGAGAACACTTGGACTTCCTTGGTGGAGTCCCTGTGTGCCGCAGTACATGCCTTGTGGATGAGTTCCAGCTGTGGAGAGCTTCAGCCCCTCGTAACCTGCTGCAGTGGCTGATTATCCTCCTTGTTAAATTTGCTGCTTGTCTGCTGGATTAAAGATCTCATCAACATAGTGATGTTTTTTTCTTTGTGTTGCACTCTTCTTGAGTGACCAAATCACCCTCCCTGTCTGTCTGATGGTCATTAGGCTGAACTTCTCCTGTTCCTGCAGGATGTGTTTTTCAGGCTCTTAATTGTTCTTGTGGTATGTTTTAAGTTACTATAGTCTTTTTTTGCTTGTGGCCACAGGATCTGGGTGTACTGTGTGATAGGAATTATACCAGTGCCAAATACACCAGTGCCTTCTGAATCCATCAAGGACTTAATTAGCTCTTCCGGCGATAGCTCTGCAGTGAGAGTGTGTATTCAGATAATAATTCACTGTGTCCCTCAAAGCCCATTTTGAGGCACTGCTTCACAGAAGGCGTATATGCGGGGCTTTTATCTGTTAGGAAACAAGGATCTATTAATGTTTTGGTTCTATTTGGGCACTCTTTTTCAGATAGATTGAATAGTTCTGACATTATATAGACATATTTAATTGGTTATTTTTCTAATAATCCATAAAATCTGTAAGCATCATAGTGTGATGTTATTAGGTATTTCTCATTTAAAATTAAGCTTTGAAACCTCTTAGCTGGTCTTTACTCAATGGATTATGTACTCTATTGAACTATGTTTTCCTAGTTTTGTAATGAAAATGTAACACAAGACCAAGAAGCATACCTTCCATGAGCAACACTGTTACTATTATCAACTACAACTTTAATCTTAAGGAAAAGGGTAATCCCTGTCAAATTAATTTTCCATAAACTCTTTTTTCCATATTCAGTTTACTTTTTTTCTTTGAGGGAAACTGCAGTTACCTGTTAATTCTATTGACCGTGCTCACCGTTACTAGGCCTGCCTGCTTACTCTATCTGAGCTATGGTGTTACATCAGTTTCTTCCTGGATCTCTCCCAGTATTTCTGAAGTTGTGGAGAATGGCATCGACAGTTTAGAGAGTACCTCATTCTGCTCTGTAAAAGTCTTGGATTCAGGGGATCTGAACCATTGATTTATGTCTGACATAGCTGCTTTTTGACAGCCTTGTGAATTTTTTGAGCAGTTTTTCATGACTATTGTGTAATGTGATTATGGTATGGGATTTTTCCCTGAGCACAACAGATAAGAAATATTTATTGAACCCATGTTTACTGAGGATTTCTGTTTAATAGTTCTCATACTTCTCTCTAGAAATGGGTCAGTACTACTGAAAAGATTTTTTTAATGTTCCCATTTTACATGCACACACTTGCTCTATTTGGCCTAACCACGCTGGCTGTAGAAATCTGTTTGTGTCTTTTACTCTGTGTATCAGTTTTTCTCCATTACCACAGTTCAGGTTCATATTGGTTTCTGTCAATTTCCACTTTCTTTTGTTTGTTATATGTGCCTTTCTTATTTTTCTTAGGTGGTGATGTTGTGCTAGAAGCTGGAGTGGTTTTTTAGTGGAATCAAAACCATAGCAAGTAATAATCTGCCTGAGATTCATTCACCCTGCAGATTAAAACATACAGGACAGATTTTACTCTTGTTCTTAGTGTCAAAGGGGGAATGTTGAACGCTTCTTCCTTTAGAAGGCTGTGCTTGTGGCGTGGTGGTAAGGAGTGCGTGTGATCTAGTAACAGTGAGAGTGTCAGCTTGCCCGCAGAACACAAGCACATCATTACCTACAGCTGAGATGACTGCTTCCAGTCCCAAAGTTTCAGTCCATGTCTTGATTTACATTTGGAGTCTTTGTCTTAGACTTCCCTGCCAGAGCTTTTGAAATTGTTGTTGTTGCTCAGCCAATGAATAATGCATGCTCCAACTAGAGCAAGTGCTCCTGGTGGTGTCCACTTAATCATTAATATTGTAGGAATGTGGGACATTTCAAAAACCACCTTGTGTGTTGATAGTTCCTTGCTGTAGAATTTCTCTGGGTTATAGCAAAAGTGGTTTCACAGTAATTTTTTTTGTTCTCCCTTGCAGCGTGGCTTTGTGACAGGAGGTGCTGATAAGTGTGTCAAGTTCTGGGAGTTTGAACTTGTGAAGGATGAGAGCAGTGTTCAGAAAAGGTGAGAAAAGAAACCTTTCTAGACTACATTCACCTGCAGTATCCATTGTCATTGATGGATGCTTTGGCCTTTGCTGTGTACTGTAAGAAATGCCCATGACATGTATGTGGAGAAGAGTGTGAGCTCAGTAGTATTTTGTGGAGGTCTGATCTTAGCTGGGAAAGGGCACTTGCCACATTCTGATCTCTTGCATGTGTGTCAGTTTAGCTTCTAATCACAGGATGGGCCTCCAGATCATTAAGCAGTAAATTTCACAGTGAAGTTTATCAGCCTGTAGTACTGTGCTTATTTCCAGTCTTGTCTTGCTCAAATTGTAATGAGGAATGAGATGCTGTGTGTTAGAATTAACTTGCTTTCCCAGGGTGCAATGTGGGAGTTGCATTTATACCTCTTCCCAACTTATTTGTTTGGGATAACAGTTGTTTTTTTTTTCTTGTTGCCAGGCTTTCGATGAAACATGTGCGCATTTTGCAGCTGGATGAAGATGTGCTCTGTGTGCGGTACAGCCCCAACCAGAAACTGCTGGCTGTCTCCTTACTGGATTGCACTGTGAAGATTTTCTATGTTGACACGCTTAAGGTGCATGACCAAATGGGCTGTGAAGCTGTGATGTAATTGTAGCCTGAAAGATCAGGAATACATAGGAAAAGTATCTATTGCGGGACGCTAGTAAGAATCAAAGAGAGACCATGCATCCCGCTTCAGGTGCTTGTTTGCTAGCAAACCTGATGGAACCATGGGTGGCCCATGCTGGGGAGAAGATCCATTTTTCAACTGGAAACTGTTGTGAACCTGCAGGTGGCAAGGTTCATTCTAAACCCTGTGGGCATGGTGGTACTCCAGAGCTACAAGGCAGTGTAAGGGTGGGGATGGATGTGTCACACATGCTGTTAAATAGGGCATAACAGAGGCAAAGCCTGGGGGAGGAGAATCTTCCTTGTGAGCAGCATGTGGTGGTTTTGCGAGTTGCGTATTTGCACATGCGTGTTAGGGAGTGACGCAAGACAGACTAGGACTGACAGATACGCAAAGAGAAACTAAGATAAACTCCATAGGCAGTGGTGATTAGCACCAGAATTAGCTCAGCTTGCTTGGGTACTTCCACCCTTCTCCAAGTTTTGCCATCATGGCCCTGCTGCTAACAGTGTTCAGGGCAAGAATGGAAGTGGGGCAGTGCTAGAAAGACAGAGCTCCTGAGGCAGAGCAGAACTGCCCTGGAGCTTGAGATTTTCATGCATCTCTACCCAGCATGTCTAACTGAGACACCTTTCTTCTGCTTCAGTTTTTCCTCTCTCTATACGGACACAAACTGCCAGTGCTGTGTATGGACATCTGCTATGTAAGTATCATTAGGGCTGTGTTAGCTGGGACTGTGGTGATGCAGATGACTGTGAGAACCTCTGCTGGTGCCAAGGCCTCTAGGATAATGCTTTCTTGTCACCTCCTTGCTCCCAACGTAGCAGTTTCTTGATGGGACACAGCGAGCCCCTCCTTATCCTGCAGTCCTGTGCTCACTGGGAGGGGTCACGGAGTAGCGGTCATGACAGAACTGGCCAGGGCCTTTTGTCAGCAAGTGGAAATCAAAATGCTGTGGTGGTTCCCTGCAGTTCTCTTAAGAGGCACAACCTGCCCTCTGCTAAAGTTACTGTGTGAGAGGAGCCTGAATTTTTTGTTAATGGGAGCAGAGAGCAGGTGCTGAAGTGGAACAGCCTCTTTGTGCCTGTTCATTCTTGGGCTGGGTCTTGTTTTGCGGTGTCCTTGGAATGAGGCTCACTGGAAGCCAAAAATGTCAAGATATAGCTAAGGTCTTAAATGCCTGCCAGAGGTTCAGAAAAGAGCCAGGGTGCTGTCAGTGGGCTGTGCCAGTACCACAAGTGTGGGCCACCCTGGTGGGAGGAGGTGGAGGGATCAGGAGAGTATGTTTTGGGAGCCAGGTGTCTGCCTATTCAGCACTGCTTAGTCACTGGGTCGGCAGCAATTCCTCAAGGGGTTGCCAGCCAGCTACCCACACCCTCCTCTCTCTTTGTTGCTCTGTAGGATGGGACTCTAATTGCGACTGGCTCTGCTGACAGGAATGTGAAGATTTGGGGCTTGGATTTTGGGGACTGTCACCGCTCTCTCTTTGCCCATGATGACAGGTCAGTCAAATCCTACAGCATCTCTGGGCTATCTTATCTCCCAAGGGGTTGTGATCTAGCAGTAACCCTTTTGCTCAGCATAGAGTGGGGGGAGGTCTGCGGTGTTCCCCAGGTGGGTGAATTTGAACCTTTTTCCCTTCCAGTGTGATGTATCTGCAGTTTGTGGCGAAATCCCATCTCTTCTTCACAGCTGGGAAGGACAGCAAGATAAAGCAGTGGGATGCAGATAAATTTGAGCACATCCAGACACTGGAGGTAGGAAATTTTGGAAACTGTTGAAAGGACGCATTATCCCTGCACGAGCAGCACTTCACTCAGGGGCTGGGAGCTGGGTGGTAGTCATGTCTTACCTCTACTGTCTATCGTGCAGGGGCATCACCAGGAGGTGTGGTGTTTGGCACTCAGTCCCAACGGAGACTACGTGGTGTCGGCATCCCATGACAAGTCCCTGCGTCTCTGGGAAAGGACAAGGGAGCTACTTGTTTTGGAAGAGGAGAGGGAGATGGTAAGAGTTGCATCCTTGCTGCCAAAGACAACTTGCAGACCTGTTTTCTCCCGAGCAGGCAGATTTCTCATTTTTCACTGTGATAGGGTCTGGCTCCACACTTGGCAGACTTGCTCATTACTAACTGCAGCCTGGTGTTGAGGTTCCCAGGGCTGACTAGCATTTTTTGCATGATGGGACTGTTGCCCTGAGCTGTCTGGAGACAGCACCACAGATGTTGCAGGTGCTTGCCTGTCTGTACTGCATTGCAGATGGCTGGCTAACCTGCTTTCTGCTTTGCTTCTCTCTTACTTCCCAGACTTTCCTCTATAGCTGTGGTTTTCTACAGGTCTGTTGGCTACAGTCTTTGACCTCTTATTCTCTTGTGCTCCTTTCAACTCAAGTGTGCTTTGGAGAAAAAAAGCAGGTGGCTGTTGTGGAGTAATGGAGAGCACTGCTCCTGTTAAATGCAGTTTGTCTTGGTTTCCTCTTTTCCAACTGTGAGAGGTCCATTCTATCTCAGTAGCAGGCCCCCGAACTCAGGGATACTGGAGGAAGCCTCTTCTGCTCCATTTGAGCATGTATTGTGAGAAATCATAGACTCACAGAAGGACTTCAATAGGAAGGAAACTGGAGGTCTCTAGTCCAACCCCTTGCCCACTGCAGGATAACCTTAAAGCTGTATCAGACTGCTCAGAGACTTGTCTTGATACATGAACGTCTCCAAGGAAGGAGATTTTCTAGGCTGTCTGAGCACCTGTTCCAGCGCTGAACCACCTTTAGGGTTGCAGGACGCATTTGTTTCACATACCTAATTGGAAATTCCTTTGGAACAATTTGTAACTCTTGTATTTTCACTGTATCCTCAGAGGAATCTGACTCTGTCTCCCCTTCCTAAAGCAGTTCTCAAACCACAATGGGGGAAGGATGTAGAAAGATGTGCAGAAGCAGGAGTGGATGTGAAACCTGTGATAATTTTTTTCTTTTTTTGTCTCAGCCTGTTTGCAAGAGCTGAGGTGACCCATAGGGAGCATCTTGATGCCCAGTGGTTGGTGCGCTAGGAATGATGGTGGTAAAAGGAAAGAGAGAGACAGTTCCTTTTCCAGATACCAGAGAAGTGTGTTTTGGGTCAAGTTTGAGTAACAAGGTGGGCATGAATACACCAGTAGTGAATTACACGCCAATGAGGCCCTAGTCATGTGAGAGACGCCAGACAGGGAGACTCTTTCCTCTTGCAGGGACTTGTGTGCTGGGTGGGAGGTCTGGTGGTGAGTTGCTGTTGTCTCTGTCTCAGCTTGGTGGGCTGTCTAAGGGCTGTTCCTGCATCCAGAGCACAGACCTTGATTTATTTTGGTCTCAGAGATTCCAGAGTTCTCCATGGGGTTGGGACCAGGGAGAAGTGGGCATTTTGCGCTGGCATTGTTGATCTCTCCTTGTTTGTCCTGGTTTTGCCATGGACTGCATGAAGCTGCAGGCTCCGTTGCTCAGCCAGTCTGGAAAGGACTTGTACCCTTGCTTGCTGCCTGCTCACCTGTGTTAATATGTTGTGTTCTCATCCACTGTAGCAACGAGAAGCTGAATATGAAGAGAGCGTGGCGAAGGAAGAGCAGCCTGTGGTGAGTTACACCATCTCAGTGTGTGTCAGTCTGACTGTACGAAGTCTGGAATAATGATTTCTATAAGAGGCATAGAAGAGGTGTCAGACAGGACCGATAATTTTCTTGCTTTGAGGAGGTGCAGGGGGGAAGGTGCTGCTGAAGCTGCGGTTGCCCCATGATGCAGTTGACTCTGGTGATTCCTATAGACAACTTTAGGAGAGTGTGTGGACCTGGCCAAACTGCTACACAGTAGCTGTGAACACTGAAACATTGCTGTGCTGTTGGGCTTCCTGTCTCCCCAGTTCAGGTTCACACCAGCCTTGCAGCAAGGCTGGGCTGCATTCTGACAGCTGCTTCCAGGTCCACGTAGTGCAGGACTGGTGGGGAAGCCTGATCCCTCTTGCTTAGATGCTCGGGTTATGTTGCTGATCATTTTGACACTGATGGGATTACTTGGCCTCTGTTGGCAGAACAAGAGCTGTGTTTACCTGCCTCCCAGAGCTCAGTGTTAGCACAGTGCCTCTATTCCTAAGGAAGAGCTGTGCACTTGGGAAATCCTGTGTTTCCGCAGATAAATGACCAGTTTAGGCAATGGGGCTGAAGTTTTTCTTAGTATGGACTGTGGTAGGATACAGGGGGATGCCTGCGTGTATCAGCTGCGGAAGGAGGGAGCTGCAAACTGTGTATTTTGTAGGTGGCTGGAGAGACGCAAGGAGAGACAGGGCTGCCAGGAAAGAAGACTATTGAAACCATCAAAGCGGTAAGATTGTGCGGGTCCACCAGTGTTGCTTTGTGCCTTATCAGTCACTCAAGGAGGGGATCTGTCACAGGGTCGGAGCGTCAGTTTGAAGAGAAATAACCTGTGCTGTCACATAAGGGCAGATTGCCTCTGCCTGCAAGAACAGTCTGCCCTGCTCCATGGCCAGCAGGGAGAGGTCTGGGTCTGGCTCTGGAGAGTCACGTGCCAGGAGTTACCTCTCCAGGGAAGGAGGTTTGAGGTTCCTGTAGCTGCAGCTTTCTTTGCTTTTCACATGTGGGACAGATGGGGCTGCTTTTGCCCTTTGGGGTTTGCAGCCCAAAGGAGCACAAGGCAGCTGGGATGTTTTCTAGGCATCAGGCCTCTCCCCAAAGGGCTGCCCAGGCCTGTGAGCATCTGTGGAAGGTGGAAATACATTGCAGTGCCTGAGGCAGGAGGTATACCAGGAAGGTGTAGGGGTGGGTAATTTCATGGCCGCAGAGTTCAGCAGTCTGGTGCTCTTGTAAATACAGAGGAAATCTTTAATCTGAATAATCAAAATGGCCCGACCCTTGCTTGTGCCCCAAAGGGGTACTGCTTGCTGGGGGTGGATTGCAACGTCAAGACAACAATTGAAGCTGCAGCAGAGAGCACCCGGGGCAGTGGGGGGAATGTAGCTAGTGTTTGACACCTTCAGGACGTGATTGATGTGCTCAGGATAGTGGTGCAGTCTGGAGTAGAGGTTATGTTTCTGAGCGAGGTGTTCTGTGATGCTCCGTGTCAGTCCCCCTGCTTGCACCTCCATTTGCCCAGTTGGACTTGAGCTTTGCTTTGGCTTCTCTGGTGTTGCTGATGTGGTGTTCTTGTGCTGCACAGGCTGAGCGGATCATGGAAGCTATCGAGCTGTATAGAGAAGAGATGGCAAAACTAAAGGAACACAAGGCCATATGCAAAGCTGCAGGAAAAGAGGTAAAAGACTGAGGAATATTCCAGTCCCAGGGTGTGTTGGGTGTATCCTTCCAGCTCAGGTGGAAAGGCTCAGCATGCAGATGAAACCAGGACAGCTGGAAATAGCAGAGATTTGCTGAGATTTGGAGAACAAAATGGCACTGTGCTCTGGGGCATGGGTGGTGGTGTGTTCTTTCCAACTATCTTTATGCTTCAAGTCATGGTAGGATGTAAGTTTTGTCCCTGAGAGAGTGTGCTGCTGCAAATTCATCCCAAAGCCTATTCTTTGCCTTCATCTCAACGCTCTCTGCTAAATAAGGTGCTGTGATGTAAGTGGGAAAAGTGACAGTTGAGAAGTGGAAGAAAACTCATGCATGTTTGAGTTAGTTATATGCATCTGAACTTGTCTAGTGGCTGCAAATGCGGCCTTCAGTGATGTTCTAGGGAGGGTGGAGGTGTGGGCATTACAGGAGGATGCTTGATAAAAGCTCTCTTCTACTGTGGGTTAAAGTTTCTCTGTGAATATGCATTCGTACACACACGCCTGCCTCATTCTAACCCATTCTATGTCTCCAGGTTCCCTTTCCTGTCAATCCCATCCTCCGTGCCTATGGAAATATTACAGTAAGTGGAATGCCCAGGCCACAGGCGGTGGACCATCCTGAGCTGGTGTGGGTCTTGTCAATTTGCTGGCTGAGCCAAAACACTGGGTTGCTGTGGGGAGGGACTACTTGGTTCAACTTGAAATGAAAACTCAGCACTTTTGCTTGTGCAGAGTGAACACAGTTTGGGGTTTTGTGTTGGTTTGGTGTTTTTTAATATCTTGCATGTGTGTTACTAAAGTTTAAGTCCATCAGGGTTAAGCATAACCCTGATGGTAGCCATGACCTTATCATGTACCTTACAATGAGCCAGCAGTTTACAGTAGTCTCCAAATATGGGAAAGCTAGTTCAAACCTTTCCTGTGCCTAAGAGTGCACCCTCCTGCTTCCAGGAGGGTGCAGTTGCCATGCTATAGCATATTTCAGAGGAGCTGTGCCATCTTACACAAAATACCCGAGTGTCCAATGGAATGGGTAATTAAGAGCCCATGTCCCTCTGCCCCCACCACGTGACATTGGTAAGCACTTAGCCAGAGCTGTTCTCTCCCTTCCTCTGTGAATATGGGCATATTTAATTACAAGTTGAATAGACTGAACAAGGGTGAATGAAATCCTATGGCTCAGTAGCTAGCAATTTCTTAGGAGGTGGGCGATGTTTGATTGAATCCCACTGTACAAAGAAGGGAATTTGAACCTGTTTCCAAAGTCTTGGAAGAATGTGCTAGTCCAAGTGCTAGGCCACTGGTAAAAACGTAGTTGCAAGTTATGACATATCCAGTTATGTGGTGAACTGACCATGATGAGCATTCAGTATGTCAAACCATGAACAAAAATGCTTCATGCACTGACAGTTGCTTATTCTCTTCCTTGGGAGAGACTCTGCTTGTGGAATACTTACCCCAACATACCTACTGTGTTGCCTTGACTCAAGCAGGAGCTGGAAGCACATGAAGGCTTCGTGACCCTAAATTCACTGCCTGTGCAGCTGTAACCGCAGCAGGGCAGCTCTGAGCACGGCAGAGCTGTGTTGTAGCTCCCCAGGCTTATTTCTGTGGCATTGGCACAGCAGTTACAGATTCTGGTTCTATTCCTAAAGAATTTACATTGAGAAAATCCTGTATGGTAGTTAGATGTCCAGGTATTAAATTGCAGGCTAGAGCTGGTGCCTTTACCTACTCACGTCATACTAGTACACAGCAGTTTTCACTAAACTCTGAGAATTTTTGGCGGTACAAAGTACACACACATGGATGCATGGATTTCATTGGCAAATAAAAATCCACTACTCTGAGTAGATTAGCTCTAGTTTTCCCAGTTTATTCCAATGTATACTCCTAGATAGCATTTTTAATTACCATGAGGAAGATCCTTGTTTTCTCATTCTCCCCTTTTCTGAGGATATATCAGTGCCAGATAAACCAGCCTTTTGTCTTCCTTTTAACCACCTGTAATCACCTTACAAGAGCCTGTCTGTCCCTTCCTCCATGATTATAAGTATATTTAATTATAAGTTGAATAGACTGAGCAGAAGTGAATGAAATCCTGTGCCTTAGTAGTTAGGCACTTTTCTTCAGCAATTCCCAGCTCTGCTCTACATCTACCAAACACTTTCAGCAAATAAACAGGAGTAGCAGGAATTATGTCTTTGGGAGATCTGTTTGTGTAAGGTTTTATAGGCATAATTTGTCTGTTTCACCAAGCTTTTTATCCAGTTTGTACAAGATTCATTGAACTGAATATGAGATCGTTTAGCTGGTTGAATTTAAGTTAGATTTTCCACAATATTCTTCACTGGTTTAGAGTATCCTGAGAAGGATGGGTTTATGTTTTGGGGAGGGAGAACTTCTCAGACTGGCAGCTGATTGAAGCTGAAGAGGGTTCCTCTTTGTTATATTCAACTTGATCTGTCTACCTCGCAAGACATGATTGCGTGTTTTTAAGTGGATGAAATAGACCTTAGAGGCACATGCTTGTCCTGGAATGTTTCTTGATATGCAGAGCTGGTGTCTTTCCTCTGTTACAGCCTTCTGCATATGTGCTAGAAGTTTTCAGGAAGGTGAAGTCAAGGTGAGTCCCACCTGCTATGACCAACTATTGAACTTCTGGGCCTAGGACTGGCTGCGGTCCTGGAATGATCTCTCATGCTGGGTATGGACAGTGCTAGAGAGTCTGGAGTTACTGTTCCTGGCAGCCTCTTTTGGAGCATGCATGGAATTGGAGAATGGAAATTGTTCCTTCCATAAGGACAATTCCTTCCATAGGGAGTGTTGGATGAAGCTTGTGTATGTGGGTTGGTCACAGATCAGCGGTGATGAATGCTTAGCACAGCTTTTGTACCACAACCTACCTATATGGAAGTGTTTCCTGCTTATCTGCAGCAGTGCAGTGGCTGAGACTAATGCTTTGTCCCTTTGCTTTCTCCTCAGTGAGCTGGAAGAATCTCTCCTGGTGCTGCCCTTCTCCTATGTCCCTGACCTGCTTAGACTCTTCAATGAATATATTCACCTGGGTTCAGAAGTTGAATTCCTGTGCCGAGCTCTCCTCTTCCTGCTCAAGTGAGTCTTTTATCTGCCCGGACAGATCTGCTAGTCTTAGTTTGGTTGCTATTGCTGTCCAGAACCTGGACCTGAGGAAGCCCTAACAGGGCTCTGGTCAGCAGTGGGCCTGCCGGTTCCTCTGGGCCCCTTGTGCTGGTGCATGTGAAGAACTCACTTTGTGCCAGTTATGTGAACACAGAGGTACTCCTTGCTCCTGTGCTGTGAGTCAGTGCTTTGGGACAGCACCGAGCTGGGGAATACATGCCGTGAACGCATGTAGCAGAAGAGCGTGGGGAAAATTTGGGTTTTCTCATATGTCTCTGGGTCTGAAGCTCTTGAGAAGCATCCTTGGGAATAAGATGTGGTCTCTGCAGGAGATAAGGAATCACTGCAGCCCACAGCGAATAGTGTGTAGGAATGGATTGGTCGGATGCAGAGTGTTGACATGCCTAGTTGGGGTTACTGGTCCTGGTCCCCCACATCTCATTGGTATGAAAGATCCTGTATCAAGGCTGAAGTGGCACTGTTGACTGGCACGGAGTCATTGTAGAGCCCGTGCCCTCAGTGCCTTAGAGAGACCTTCCTCTCAAATCACTGTATGTTAAAGAGAAACTTCAGAAAATAGTTTTTCCAGATTAATCTGCCCATGCCTCTTATGTAAGGCTGGTCTGGGAAGGCCTAATTTGAGAAGAATCTTACGTCCAGAATGTACAGAGACTCAGGAGAGGGGCTTTCTGATCTTTTTAAGAACAGTACTGCAATACATCACTACCTGCTTTGTTCCCAGGATACATTTTGGGCAGATCACAAGCAACCACATGCTAGTGACGGTGATAGAAAATCTGAAGAAAACCACCATCTCCAGAGTCAGTGAGGCCCGGGTGAGTTGCAGCCTCCGCTTTTCCAGGATCTGAAATAAGAGGATGGGCCAATGTCTGGGAGTGTGTGTTGTCTGTGGTGTCCAGTGGGAAAGCTGGTTGGGGGTCTGAGGCCATTTCATCTTCCTCCTGTGCAAACAGGCTGCCTTTTCCTCATGTTCTTCCTGATATGAGACTACCTGGTGGTGAGCCTGCACTTGTGCTCCCTCCTGCATTTACTCTTAGTTTTCTTTTGATGTATGTATTTGGGCTTTGGCTTGCTAGTTTCTAAATATGTAGGAGGTAAATAAACAATCTATTTCTCTTGGGCTTTTCTGTGGTCTACTGGTCTGTCAAATAATGCAGACTGTGCATCTTCATAGAGGCTACTTCAGGTACCTGTCAGCAACTTGTCTTTCAGAAAATACAGTGGACTATAGCTGCTCCTAAGGGAGAACTGTTGGGAACAGAGTGCAGGACTGACTGTTCTCCTACGCAGATGAAGTTTACATCTAAATAATCTTGCTTTATTTAAATCTGTGGGTTGTCTTGCTTTCATTATTTCTTAGTAGAGGGCAGCCAGTGCAGCACCGTCTGCCCCTGAACAAGCTTGACATGAGCCCAACAGTGTGGTGCTGGTCTGTCTCTACAGGATGTGCTGGGATTCAACATGGCAGGGCTACAGTACCTGAAGAGGGAGATTGAAGCCAAGGATGAGGTGACGTTTTTTGCTGATGCTACTGACCGTTTTGAGGAGAAGAGGAGGAAGAGGAAGAAGAAAGAGAAGATGGTTCTTGCAGTGCTGTAGCATTTGCTGCCCAAGACCCAGAGCACCTGGATGGGGTCATGTAACCTCAGTGCTGGCCATGGAGGCGTTCTTGTGGCTGATGTCCAGTGACTGGGACAAAGTCTGTCCCCTACCCATGTGGTATAACCCAGCACATATCCCCCAACTCAGAATGGTTGTCTCTGAGATGAACTCTCTGTAGTCTGCTGCAAATGTATGCGTTTGAACTATTTCTGAGGTGGCTGTCAAAGGTACATGCTTTTCCTCCAGCAGAATGCCCGTTAGAAATGGAGTTGATTTCTGTTGCGGAAGAGATCAGCTCATTCTGGCAATGTTGACTCAATGGAGTGAATCTAGCACACGGACTGCTGGTGAGACCATGCCGTGTCCAGGGAAGGCAGCTGGGAAGATTTTATGCTGTTTTGACAGCTGCTGGTGGCTTGTGGGAGTGCTTAGAGCCTCTGGGCAAAGCTCTGTGACTTCTGCCAAAGTGTGAGAACTTGGTCTGCAGCCACTCGCTTTTTAGTGGGACAGGGAAAATCATGGCTACACTCTATTAAAGGCATATTTATATATACTTTATGAGGCAACTTTGTTTGTGGAATTTTGTCCTGGTATTTCTCTAGTAAAGCCTCAGCTGCCTTGCCCTGTGTGTCAGTTCTCAGAGGATTTTTTTTTTCCAGATAAAACCTGTAGGAGCAAATGAAAGGGCTGCCATCCAGGATTGTGCTATTCCGTAGAGTTGGCAGACTGAGCATGAGAAGGGTGGGTTGTCTGCATTGTACTTGCTCCAGTTTTTAGAAATTGCACTGAATTATTGCAATGTTGTACTTGTCCTGTATCAGATAAAATTGATTATTTTCTCAGCGGGGCCAGTGGGGCAGGCTAAAGTGAGCAAGTCTCTGCTGCTGTTGGTAAGTTACTAGTTTGTAGTACATGCTGTCTTTTTTTTACCAGTAATCACAGGTTTGGTGGATGTGGTGCGGGCTGCTTGTGGGTACTTTGCTGACTGTTGGATATACTCAAAGCTGGACTTCTTTCGAACTTGAGCTTCGTATGGATTTTTTTTTTTTTGCATCCCAGTTGTTACTGACTACTGTCTTTGACTTAATTTATTACTAGCAATTATGCACAAGGCAAACAGTTCAGTTGGTCAATCTTTTGGCAGCACCTCAGGTGTAATAACCACACCTTTTAGAATAACTTTGTCAGGGGGCTGATGGTTCACTTGCTTCTTCAGAGTCTGCGTAATTTACAGCAGCACTTCACACTCCAATTCCAGGAGATAGGCCTCAGAGTCTTAATGGAAACAGCAACCTTCATACAGCTCTGCCAGTTTTTTCTGGGTGCCTCTATAATTTTTTATTTGTCCAGATATGGATGAAACTTGAGATCAAACAGCTCACTCAAAACATGTCTCCATCCTGACCTATTGTATTCTATCGTGTTCTGTTCTGTTCCATCATATTCTATTGGTCTCCTTTGGGAGCAGTAAAGGAATACCTCATAAGAGGGATTACTGCAGTGGGAGGAAGCAGAGGCACTGCAGGTGATGAATTGTGTTGGTAACCTCAGCTGACGTCTTGTGTCCATGTCAGCAGCTCCTGAAATGAGCTAGCCTGCTAGGAAAACAAACAAAGAAAGAGGGGTGGCTTGTGACACCACAGTGCACCTTCAGCAGTGATGGCTGAGCAGAGAGATACCAAAACCAGGTACCAAAAGGGGAAGGCTGACTCTATGCCTCTGTGTGGTGTGCTCTGTCTACCTTAATACCACGGAGAGAAATGTTATGGAACCTATGTAATGTGCTGCTGTTTGATGATTGTCTGGGAGGTTGGGGAGAAAAAACATGGCCACATGTGCACATGAACTCAGGGGCTGATGACAAGGATGTAGATGGTATAGAAGAGTAACTTGGGATGCAGAGTCATCTTCTCATGATGACAGGTGTCTCCTTTTGATCTAAGGTTGAAGGAGGGGAATTCCTTCACCTTTGCTGTCACTGGGATGTGGGAAGAATCCTTAGAAGAAAAGGTCTTTGAGGTGGTGGAAAGTAGTTGTCCTCTCTCCATAGGTGCTGACACAGGCTTCACCATTGAACTTTCCCTCTGGTTCTCTGATTGGTATCAGTTGTGACCGGTCTGTACCCACAACAGTGGCTTGCCTCAGTGCCCAGAATGCGGTCCTGAGGGGACTGATGTAGGACTGTTGGCTGTGTCTGCAGAAAACTGAAAAGCATCAGGTCAGAAATCAGCAGTCAGTAGCAAAATCATTGCTGTTGGAGACTCCTGCACCAAGTTTGACACTGCTTCTTGCGGTGTTTTCTTATCTGTGGGTAGGGCTTAAACAATGTCCACAGCTGGGGATCTGTTTCGGCACGTTCCCGACCTGGCTTTCAGCCTTGGTTAGTAGGTCAAATCTGACTCAAAGAGCTGATGGACAAATAGTCATGTCGAGTGGAGCAGTGGAAAACGCCAGTGCAGTACTCAAGACAGCTACTGAGGGAGCTCAGCATATGCTTTAAATGGAAGAGGTCTGTCCTGTGCCAGCAATCCACTGATACACTAGAATTCTGCTGTCCTTGGGTACCTCAGCTTGCCCTTTCTTAGGTGAAATTCCCTTGCATGTAGAAACCTGAGCAGGGAAGCACTTGCAAATACAGGGCCAACTTAAAATGTGTATTGTTAGAATATGTGTCTCACTTAACAGTGTGGATGGAGAGTCCGAAACTGGCATTTCTGTTTCACACTGGTAAAAGCTATTATTTAATCCCCAATCATGGGATTCTCAGTCACTGTAAAGTGTGGAGAGAATAAGTCATCTGCATGTATCAAGGAAAATTCCCCATCTCTCAGGATGTCATATGCTGGAAAAAGGATGAAGCACAGGAAAGCACCTCGTTGGAAATGAATTCATAAAAAGAAAGCAGAACTGCACTTGGATATACAAATATGGTGTCTCACAAAGAGACTGACATGTTTCCTTTAGTCACTACTGTGTAAGTAGGAACAAGGGGAGGGGGGGGGAAGTCCATCTCTAAGTGGCTCAGTCTTCCACTATGAAGAGAGAGGAGCATTTGAAGATGATCATGTCTGATGGTGAACAAGAGAATATAAGCAGAATCCCTCTCTGTCAAATGTAACTTTGTGTACTCATAATCCTCATTTGGTGTCTGCAGCCAATTAGACACACGGGAAGTTAAGCTTATGATTGTGAAAGCAAACAGAAACTTAGGAATTAGAAGTCCAGAGAAGATCAGCAGCTTTTTTGTGAAGAATCACAGTTGACTTCAGTGAAACCTGCTGCATGCTCAGTACTTAAAAAAGATTTCAGGTATCTCAGCACAGGTTAGAGAAACCTAACCCCTTTTAAAATAAATCTATCGGGAACCATTCAGCACTCTTCTGAAGTGCAGAGTACCAAACATTACAGTTGAAATACAGTATTCTTTCCACTGTTTGCATTTCAGACAGCCACATGAGAAGGCTATGCAACTTTTGGACCACCTTTCCCATTAATAGGGGACAGACAAAATATTTATTCATGTTAATCTGATGAAATAAATGAAAAAGTCTATATTGGGATGTTTCTATAACATTGGACTAAAATTTGGGTATTTCAGTATTGCTGATCTTCATATTATTCTTCTAGGGCTCTGACCTGTAGTGAAAGAGGACAGAAAATTAACATGAAAAGATAAAAAACCCACCAAATGCCAACTCTACCTTTGTACAGTTTTTTGAAGTAAGCCCAGTAATTACATCCAGATTCTTTACAAGTGTTGTGCAAGTACTGTCACTGCTATGGACCGGCTGCAGCAGAACTGGCCTCTATGCCTGCTCTCGGAACACGATGAGAAAGGGTTCTCACACAGGCTTCAACTAGACTAAGAGTTTGCTTTTATTTCACAAATTGAGTGGCATAAAAATGATGACCACAAATTCAGGATGGGCAGTCAGCACAGGAATACTGAAGGCTTTCATGGGCAGCTTCCTATGCAGTATTTAATTTTGGGAATCTTTGTGAAATGTTTTAAATATAAATGAAAAATAACTAAGAAATTGTAAATGAGCTATGACTAAGTTCAGTCAGGTTATGCCAGAGAATCACTGGCTCTGGTGATAACTGCCTGGGAAAGCAATATGAACTTAAAAAGTTTTCGCAGTGCCTCTGCAAAGACTTAACTATTTCTATTCTGGATGGTTGAACAAGACTATTTAACCAAATACAGGACTACTTAACCTAGGAGTGTCAGTGTTTCATGTTTTGAAAGACTAAACTGACCAGTCCAGAGTTCCTTGACATGTTTGAGATGGATATTGTATTTTCAGGAGATTTTTGTGGGGAGGAATGTTCGAAGAGGCATTTGGTACAGTTGCTTGGGTAGCATGGGGTAGCTGTAGCCAGCTTCAGTAGGAATTATCAATCAATTCACGAAAAGGCTTGGTCAGAACAGAAGGGATGGCAATGGCAACTGTGATTAGTTGGATTAGCTGTGTGGGAGGAAAATACTATGTAGTTAATTTCTCTCCACTTGGAGCTTTTAATGGGAGGTGACACTGATCAGAATTTCTGTTGGGACTGCTGGGACGGGGGGTGTCTCACTGAAATGTGAACTGACTGGGCGAGTACTTCTCTTCCATTTCAACACCCAAGTGAGTGAAATTTGTCTGAATTGCCTTTGCTGATGAGCTCCAGGTTGTAAACCCCTAAGCTGGAAGGCATTAAATTTGCTGTTCTTCTAGACTATGACTGCTTGTTACTCTGGGGGTAAAATTCCACACTGGAAAAGGTAAGAAGATATTTAAAAAGAAGAAGAAAAAAAAACAAACAAAACAAAACAAAACTGTGTTTTAAGTACTCTGGGCAGTCCTAGAGCAGATGTAGCAGTCAGAGGTGCATGTCTCTCTGAAGTTTCTTTTGAGAACTCACTGATGTGATTGCTTTCCTTTTTCTCCAGAGGAGAGGAAATGAGATACAGCTGGGATTTCTTTGCTGACTTGTTAGATAATGTGGCAGATTTACAGATGTTAAACTTGAAAGAAAAATAGGATGTCAGTGTTACACATATGAGGCAAATGGGGACTCTGAAGCTGAGGAGAGAAGAAACATCCATAGGGCTCCTTTTCATGAACCATCACCACCGATTGTCTTGTAGAGCACCTGATTTGATATGGGTGAGATGAAACACCAGCCTAATGTTAAACATGTTGGCTGGTGGTTTGAGGAGAAATTCCCAATAAGGCTTTCTTGTTGGCAGGAAAGATGTACCTATTTTCCATATAGTTTGATCCACTAAGGTTACAGAAATGTGCTGTATGAAACATTGTGTACAGAAGGTTGTGTGTGCTTGAACTTGTCGTGTTAAGGTTGCCCTGTCTATCTGTAAGACCCCTGTCCCTTATTAGACTTGCTGTTAGTGTCAAAGGGTCAGCAGTAAGACTTGGGTTTAGAAAGCAAAGAATGTTAAAGAGAGGCTGATTTATTAGGGCTTAACTGCAATAAATCCAGCCTCCTGCTGTGAGGAGCGTCAATGACTTGTTTAATGTGGAGATAGTCAAGTGAAGGATTTGGGACAGGACCGGGGAGGCTCTGCTGTGAGTGCTTGCACTGAGCTGAGCAGTTGTAGTAATCTGTAAATCTCTTGCTGTGAGTCCTTTGGTTAATGCCATCCAGTGCTTCCCCCTTTTCTTGTCTCAGGTCATCATGTCTATGTGATGTGTGCATGACAGCAAATCTGTCAGTTGCATGAGGTATGTTCATGATGTGGATCAGAAGTCAAGACAAGGTAAAACAACTGTACTTTAATTTATGGCTGGTATCGCTGCATCCAGTAATTACATTAACTAGAAAGCTTTCGGGGTAGTGTAATCCGGAACCGTGGCTTGGGGCTTGTAGGAACTGCCCGGGCTGTTGCTGCCATCCCACCCTGGGGGTATCCTTGTGGGCGGCACTCATAAATGTCGTTGGTTAACACAGGTGGAATAGCATGTTAAGGATCTAACCATTTCTGTACACTTACGTAACTAAAACACATGTGGAGGCTGGAATGAATTCTGGAAATAAGGCTGTGAAACAACTTGGCTACTGCCCTCAGCTCAAAGATTAAAGACCAGGTAAAATATTGAGGAAGGGCGCATATTTTGGAGGCTAGTCTGCAGCTGTGTGTCTGAGGACTGGGTGAGTTGAAACAGAGCAGGAGGTGGTTTTGCTGCTATGCCACCAGTCCTGTCTGGCTTACCTCCACAGTGATGGGCATGAGAGACTGCTTTGGGTCGCTATGAAGTAAGTTTGGCGAGTTTCAATGTCACTTCTAGAGCATATAAAGCCTCAACAGAGTTGCTGTTAGCTCATACTCTGTCTCAGAGGACCCTGAAGTTCTCCTTTCTTTGCTAAGGGTAGCCCTTACCAGGAGTGGCATTTCTAGCATGTTTGGATGCACCTTGCCTTGCTCTTTTTTTATAGGTTTCCAGAAGACCTCCCAGGCTTTTAAGTCTAACTTTGATTAAAATCAGAAGAAAGAGTGAAGTTCTGTTTAAATTTGCCCTTAAAAAATGAGCTTGTAAATTTTAGCTAAAAAAATAATTACAGTTTCTAGAGCACAAGGAAAAGAGAAATAATAGTTCTTGACTTTGCTGTTTTCTTTTACTCTACACCTGTCCTCAAATAAACAAATGAAAAGCCCACCGAACCCACAGCAGGCTGATTTTGTGACAGCATTCATGCACTTCTGTGCTTGCATCTCTGCTGACACAGGGATTGACCTATTTGTTAAGTATCCAAGATGATACATGATTTTGTTGCTTATGAGACTATACTATCAGATGCTACCATGGCTTCAAAAATGTTATAAAGGATTTCCATATGGGGTGGTGGGAAAGAGGTCCTATTATTTTCATTTATTTTTTTAAAAGCCACATCTTTCTGAGCTTGCCATTCTTCCTTTCCCCACTTTTCAAAACCTTGTTATTCTGATGTAAATTGCTTTTGGTGTCAGAATCCTACATTGTTCATTTGTTGTACTTTCGAAAACACCCATTTATGTGTTTCTGAAAAGGACAGTAAAGCTTGCTACCTCAGCAGCCTGCACTGGAAACAATGCTAGAGGCTCTTGACAGGTGGATGGTCCCCACAGTTGATGCTAGAAGGTGTGTGTGGGAAGTAAGACAACAAAGGATATTTGCTCTCACAGGCAGGAGAAGAGTCTCTGTTTCTGTTAATATTTCAATATCATGGGAAACTTCTCCAAGGCCACCAGTATCTTCCCCTCCAATTACCATGGCAAAAATCTCTATCTCCAGTTCAACCTGCAAGCCTGCTGCTACCTAGGAGAGACAAGAGGATTACTGACAGGTAAGGTGCGTGTTTCATATCTAGTCCTGTCCAGCAGTCCTTAGAGCCGGTTCTTGTTCTGTGTTGTCTGATGAAATTAAAGACTTTGTGCCCAGCACATGATCATGCTTGCCAGTTACCCAATATCTCTTTCACTAGAAAGGTCTGTACAAAACTGTGCCTCTTGACATTGCAGTTTGAAAGAAAATTGTCAGGTGTTTGCATTTTTTCCCCTTAAATTTCCTTTTAGGTTCCAGAGGGAAAAAAGAGGAATTGGGACAGCTGGTAGAGAACCAAAAAGAGGTGGTCGATGCCCCAAGCCTGTCAGTGTTGAAGAGGCATTTGGCCAATGCCCTTAATGCCATGCTTTAACTTTTGGTCAGCCCTGAAGAAGTCAGGCAGTTGGACTAGATGATCGTTGTAGGTCACTTCCAACTGAAATATAATATTCTGTTGTATTGTATTCTAAAAAGAACATAGAGGTAGGGAGAAAAGGGATGGATGTGTGGAGAGGAAATGAGAATGGAAATTATTCCAGCCACCTATTTGGACTTCTGTAAGGTCTTTGATGTGGTCCCCTACAACTTCCTTCTCTCTAAATTGGAGAGATAAAGATTTAATGGGTGAACTGTTCAGTGAATGAGGAATTGGTTGGATGGTTGCATCCAGAGAGTAGTGGTCCATGGCTCAATGTCCAGATGGAGATCGGTGACAAGTGGTGTCCCTCAGGGGTCTGTATTGGGACCAGTACTGTTTAATATCTTCATCAGTGACACAGACAGTGGGATTGAGTGCACCCTCAGCAAGTCTGCAGACAACACCAAGCTGAGTGGTGTGGTTAACACACCTGAGGGATGGGAGACCTTATGGCAGCCTTTCAGTACTTGTATGCTATAAGCCCCCTTTAGGGGGGCTTATAGGAAAGAAGGCCTGTTGCAATAGGACAAGGGGTAATGGTTTTAAACTAAAAGAGGGTAGATTTAGACTAGATAAAAGGAAGAAATTTTTTATGATGAGGGTGGTGAAACACTGGAACAGGTTGCCCAAAGAGGTGGTAGATGCCTCATCCCTGGAACCATTCAAGGTCAGGCTGGACAGGGCTCTGAGCAACCTGATCTAGTTGAAGACGTCCCTACTCATTGCAGGGGAGGTTGGACTAGATGACTTTTGAAGGTCCCTTCCAATGCAAACTATTCTATGAGTCTATGATTTTAAGTACTGAGTTGTGGATAGGGCTCTGGACTAGGAGGTTTAACTTGCATTCTGGCACTGCCTCCTTGCACAAGTCATTGCTTCTTCATTCCATGCCGGTAAAAGCATTGGCAAGGATATGGCCTTGATATTACCTGGATGCTGTGGGGATATTGGCCAGCACGATATTTATTCAGATTCAACAGGCAGGTGAAGAGAGACTGAACAAAAGCAGAAAGCATGAAAGCTTCCTACCTAATGGGACAATTTCACATGCTATGGTGCTTTGCTAGATAAAGGACAAGGTGGAGAATAGTTGCAAGCGGGAGTAGAAATGGTTGAGGCAAGGGTTTACTAGGTTCAACTCCTGAAGGTATCAGGACAAGTAGATAAAGTCTAGGCGTAAGACAAAGCAGATATAACAAATACCCTAAACGAAACCTCAGAGCTAGTAGTAGAGTATCCCCTTTACTTCAAAAAAAGCTCTCTTTTAACCTCACTGCTTGACCTGCTGCTTTCCACTGAACTTAACATGTTTATCCCTCTGCATTCCGGTGCAGGCTCTGAGACTTGGAGCATGTGGGTGCTTGGTTGAAGGCAGCATCACTTCAAATAACTTTAAACAAATCATGGACACTGCCAGCTCTGTTCCCAGACAGCTGGTGTGAGAGGACCCCAGATGGCCCAAGGGCCAGCTGAGTCTAGCAAAAAAACCAAAAGATGTCTGTAACTTACAGGTCCTGGTCTGTACATCACACTCAGTCCTGTGTGTGGAGGTGGTTGCTTCACCCGAAACCTGTCAGAAAGAGAAGAGAATCAGTTTGTCAGAAACTGTTTCAGGCAGGCAGAAGGCACTGCTGGGAAGCAGGCTGTTTGCTCTTCCTTCTGCTTGTGCAAATGACAGCAGAATTTGTTAGCGCATCCTTCCCGTCGCAATGTATAACTTGGGCTACAGCAGTACTCCTGTGTTTCTTGCCAAGGCTCAGGTTTCTAACAAAAAAACCCAAAGGAGCAGATTAATAGGCCAAAGTAAGCCTCCAAAGAACTTGTTGCACTGCCTGGTCCTTACAACAGAATGTGAAACACCAGCATTCTACGCGTGCATACACAAAAGAAGCTGAAGTACAAATTACATCTTCTTGGCAAACACCTGTCTGTTGCACACAGAAGTCCTTAACAATCTTTATTTAATGTCTGTTGATATGATTCTATTACAGAAGGCATGTACTGGTATAAATTTTGTGTAAATAATCTTTAGTTTCACAGTACCCACTAAGGCAGTAGTTTCACATCTTCATTTCTCACTGATTGTTTCACATCTGTGCAGTCCTTTTGTGCATGCAGCTTCCACTGTTAAGATCTCTAAAGCTTATTAGAGCAGATGTGACCTCTACTTTTGCACAGCTCTGGACTTTATCCTGTGGTTTTCTTTTCCACCTGAAGAACAGTTACCAGCATGCACTTGTACCAGAAGCTGTTAAAAGAAAGGCAGTAGAAGAGGCAGTCCTAGTATATGGCTCCATCTTATGGAAAGCTCTGGCAGACTTACAAACGGGCTGTCAGAATTCCTGCGCTTTCTCTGGGGTGCTGGCTGTTACGCAAAACTGGACCTGATTTTTGTCAGGCTGTTCCAAGAAGTTCAGGCTATGCTATGGACAGCTTGGAAGGCACATAGTTAACTATTGACCCCTTCATGAGAAGTTCTGGCTTCAGCATGAGGCAGACATGGCTCAGAATTGCCCACCATTGGCCTTACCCCTGCCCCTCAGCACGTTCTGCTGCCATTCAGCACCTAGTCACTTATCTCTCCTTTCAAAGCATCAAGTAAAATGCTTAAAAGATAAGTGGGATTTATCAGAATCATGGTGGTATTTTATGTGACTGTCTAGATATAGTGCCCTGGCATGGGGCGGGGGGCAAAGGGAGTAATGTGCCCATCTTGAGCTCTAAGTTGTTGGTATATGATCTGCTGATTTATCATGCCATGCACCATGATACTTAAATGTGCAAAGAGAAAAAAAGGTCTCTTTGAGGCCATATCTAACTAGGCTGATTTTTTAAAAAAAAAAATTCATCTCTGCCATCCATCCTGATGAAAGAAGCTGTACAGTAGTCTCTCAGATGGTCTTGAACAGATTTCTAAAGTGCCTAATTGGCTGAGTACTCGCAAGAGATCATGGTGATCCCAGCAAGGTTAGTCTCCTGTGAGCTCCTCTTTTGATGATAATTAGCTAGCTACCCGAGGAGGAGGAACAACAAATGTCAGACATAAATGTTTATGTTTATTTCAGTCCAGCACTGTGGTACCATAGTAAAGGGATGCTGTGACTGCTGAGCTAGTGTCACTGTGACACTTCTCTCAACTCTCTTTTTAAAGAGGATATCAAACTGTAGGTCACCTGCAGCCAGGAAAGCGAAGTTTGGCAGGTGCTTGCTCACGTGATTTGCACACTCAGGCCCAAGAATGTTTAATGCCTTCCTTACTGTTTTCCTGAACCAGTGCTAATGTTGCAGGAAAAATCAAAGTGTTTATCACCAGTCCTAAGAAGAGGATCCAGCTTTTGAATGACTTAGACCAACATGAGACTAGGAAGTTTATTTCCATGCTTTCAGTTAGCCTCCCTCTTCTGAGACCTGTGGGTCTAGCAGAAAGAAGGCCTATGTAACAGGAGTGGTCCAAGCCTGGCTTACTCTAAGTTTCTGAAAGAACAGTATATAACTGTCCATTAGGACAAATGGATGAGATTGGCCTGAGTAGCAGCTTTCAGTTAACTGCTAAATAAACTAAGAACCTCTCCAGCTGCAGGAGGTAATTGAGGATAGGTGGGAGTCAGAGCCTGACTGGAAAACTTTGATGGGAATAGCTATCTCAGAACACAGGAATTTAAAAAGCTTGGTTTTGGCTTTGGGGCTTTTGAGCCATCTGAAATGAAAGCTTCCCACTAAGTACTGCAATTCTTGAAACCAGCTGGTGGGATTATAACCATTCAACTGAAGCTATTGTGAAGCAACAAACCTTAGGTGGAAGCCCAGAAAGTGTAAGGACTTGGAAACCGTTGTTGCAGGCTTTCCTTTAAGCTAAAAAGCAAGGTATATATAGCACAGCTCAGGCAAGCGCAGTTGAGCAAACTAAGTGGCAGGAATATGCTTTGCCCTCTTTTCTGTCACCTGTATGGCACCTGGGAGGACAGGGGTCATAAGGACACCTGCCTGAATACCACTAAAGTAAAACCACCGGAACTGCTGGTGCAGGAGTGACTGAATGAACAGATGTGCAGTCACTCAAAACAGGAATTCTAGTACAGAAAAGCAATCACAAGCATTTTCTTACTGTATTTATATATTCTTTAAACCGCAGCTGGGTAAATATGGTAATTTCCTATGATTTGTTGTGCAGGGCAAGAGACAATCTGCTGGACTGCAGACCTAGAAATGGACTTACTTATCCTCACCCCACTGGAACATAGTGCAGTGCTATTTTGTCCCACACACTGACAGGGCTGACACCAAGTAAGGGAAATGTGTGCACACATAAATGCTTTATTTCATCTTCCTCCTCTGCTTGTTTCCACTGTCATCACAGGAGCTGTTTCTCAGTGCAGCTAGAGACATGTGTCTGCCTGAATACAGCTGTGCCCATTTAGATGCAGCATCCAGCAACATTTCCCAAAGCCAAATGTAATACTGGTTACCATGGAAGACTTTGGTCTCTGAACTTGAGAACTTCAATAAGAACCAAAAAATCATCTGCAATGGGCCAGGACTATGCTTACAGGACCTGCTGTTCCTTACTGCTTTCCATCTTCCTAATAACACTAACATGCAAATAATGCTGAAGTATTTCTAATATTACTTTCTCTATCCAGTCAGTCATTATCAAATGATTCCAAAAATAAAAGTACCATTTGTTATCTCATGTTAATCAGATCAAAAGGTTGACCATTAACAAGCAATGCGTATTTGGACAGTTGAAAACCAAGGTACTGAAAATCCAAACTAACCTTGAAAAGTTTACACCAACATTCTTCAGCATCACAGTGACTGCATAAGTGCAACCTTCCTTTAGCACTCCAAACATCACTCTGGGTGGAATGAGATGGAAGCCACTGAGATGCTGTCTTCTTGTTGCAAGAGAAGATGTGTTGACCTTTCCTGCGACAGGATCTTCTGTCTTTGCAAACAGAATTAAAATATGAGACAACAGAGAAAGTTGGTGGCCATCAAGTTAGGTTCAGCGTTACTTAACCTACATGCCACCTTGTCCCGCTAATCCTGAAGAATTACAAAAAGACGTCCTAATTTGAGTAAAAACTGAAGAGGCACTTTGAATATTGTCTGCAAATTTATACTGGTTTGAGTTTTCAGACATATTAAGCTATGGAGATCTCAGGGCAATGGGGAAGCTCTGCTTTTTTGGAAATCAGAGCTTTCATGTCAGTGCCTGGTACAGAACTATGTTTTTGGCATATGAGTTTGTCCTAGCTGTTGAGAGGAAAGGTACTTTTAGAATTGCTAGTAAACTTAGACATAAATTGCAACCGCTATGTTTCCGTAAACAGATTCAGAATACCTTGTAGTATTGCTCCAGAGCAAAGATTTTATGGAAATGACTGAGAGGATATTAATATTAGCAGAAAAGATGTTATTTTTACCTTTTTATTTGGTATTGAGTTTGGTTTTTTCCCCTGAAGGGATGATGGTAATTTCACTTTCTCTTTTCTTGGCTGTCCTGCAGCATTCACCAGCAGACTCTGAACTTTATGTTGAAAGGGTGCCTCTTGTGATCTTGCAGCTTTGTTTAGGTCTGGAAAGGAAAGATTTCCAAAATCACAAAAGACTAAGCATCATATTCAGCCTAATCCTGAAGTTCTTGTTCAGATAAGATTTTTATTTTCTATGGAAGCATTTGATTAGGTGAAGGACAGAAGAATTGCTCTTGTTTTTATTTAAGAGGCCAAGAAAGGCATTAAGAAACCCCGTAATAGTAACAAGTAACTGAAATTTAACTAATAAGTAAAGTTGTACTGTAATTATTAGAACTAATTAGTTGGAAGCATCTCAGTGGAAACTCACAATGAAGATAAAAACACCTGTGAAAGTGACTAAAAACAGAAGGAGAGGTACAAAACCCCAAGCACTAAAATCAAAATCAAGGACATTACTATTCCAAAGGCTTGCCTGCACAGCACAATGATCAGTTGTGCAGAAACACCCAGGCTGGTCAAGTCAAATCTGTATGTCCATATAACAAGAAATTCCAGTCCAGGCCCCAAAGCTGTACAGCTCTGCCAGCACAACCAACTAGGAAGCCCTGTCTCTAAGCAGGATTTATTGTCTTGAATGCAACCATTCATTCATTCATATGGATGACCTGTATGCTTCTGACTCTGGGGTTAAGATGACTTTAGCTATCTTTTCATCTTTGAACTGTTCTCTACTGCATAATGGAGATAGACTAAGCATAGGGATGGCCAGAGCAACTTAGATCTAAATACAACTTCTTTTGTTTGACAGCCAAAGACTTGTGTAGTTTATTGTCAAGTCTGATAACCTCTGAAGGGAAAACACAGGACAATTATGGTGGCTGTCTTCTCACCAGAAGTTAACCTGTAGATCAGTATTTTGAACGGAGGAGAATTGTTTTTTCTCAGTTTGGAGTGCAGGCACTGTCTAGCTGAAATGCTAAGTCTGGTCAGTTAGTCATCGTGAGGAGGCAGAAATGTTATTTGAGAATAGCATCTTCTCTAGATTCCCCTCTTATTTCAAGACAACAGAACTGCAGGTCGTAGAGAATAAGCCCAGAGCTTATTAAAAAAAAGCTAAGCATGGACATTAGGGAAAAAAACACTAGCATTTCTGGTTTTGCCTAAAGGCAAGTAATATTTATGCTTTGATATTAGAAGCTAGTGTAGTTTTGGCATCTCTCTCTCCAAACACACTCTCCCCCCACCTCCCCCTCAAGTTGCTGTTCCTTTCGTCACCTACCCTGTGGCTCTGGAAGTACAGATTAGTATATCTGCCCTGAGGTCTATGGATTATGCATAAGTAACAGAGGAAATTTAGGAAGTTTGAAGGCAACAGCTCTTGCAGAGTCCCACTACTAAGAAAGGGTACCAGTATGCGTGGAAGGGAAAGGAAGGGGAGAAGGGAAGCTGTAACTACAGGATGCAAGGATAGATTTTGCAAGTACATGCTGCCAAAGCTCAGCTGGTGTGGCATTACATGAAAGCCAAAGGTTGGGGTTAATTAAAGCAGACTGGTGGCTCTCCAGTGGTGTGGTGATCATCCAAGGCTATCACCACAAGCAGATGCCTAAAGAGAGTGAATGACAGTAGACATAGCAAGGAAAGCAAAGCTGAACAGGGATGTTTAAATATGAAAGACCACAGTACACACTGTTCTAGAGTTTTCTGTTACAGGCCTTAATGAGCAGGAAAAATCGGCTTGTGCAAATTTTTTTAGTAAATAAATTACTTCTTGTCTTTGTCTGCAGTTCTATCATCCCCGTGTTGTTACAGCAGTCTCCTAGGGTGAAGGAGAGAATCTCTCCCATTAGTTTTATATCTCTTCCTTTCTGCTAGTCTTGCATTCAGATGTATTCAGAGGTATTCAGAGTGCTGAACAGAGATAGGTGGATTTAAATTTCTATTGTAAATATTTTTGTCAAAAGTTATAAGAAGATAGATATTAACCTGCTCCAAGCTACATTCTGGAAGTTGGCTTTACCTGTTGTGCTGCTGGAACCTTCATTTTGTTTGCAATGAGCCTGCAGTAGAAAGCCAGGTGAAGGTGAGGAATCACTCCTGGTATTGAAACATTCAGATGCTAAAGGGAAAATAATGGAATACTGTGACAAGTGTTTTTCATGATCATCATCATTTTCATAAACACGTGAAAAAAAAAATCACCAAGTCTTTGGCACTTTAATTTAGACAACCTTTGAAAACTGTCTACATAACCATAGGGGCTAGGTAAATTCTGCATGTGACACTTTGCTCCACTGGGCAACAGGGATCAAAAATGCATATCTTGTGATTAGTCATGTTCTCTAGCTAACGGAGCAATAAGCCATAAAGCCAAAATGGACAATGCAACACAGGTCTTCTGGTGATTGCAATATAGGAATTTGCAGAGGTCCCATAAAGCCCCATGGAAGACTGCTTTCCTGGTATGATTCTTTGCTGTGTATGACTTTTAATCTCACTATGCCATTTCAGTAACTTGTCAGGGCTGCTTTTCAAACAGAACTGAAGTATTCCTCTCAATGCTGTAAAGCTCAAACCTAAGATGATGGTTCATTCTTTTGCTACTTCCTGTCTTCCAGTCACTGCTTTCCTCCTATATCCTCCGAACTATCCTTAGCCTGCAAGTTTCCTATTCCAGATTGCTTTTGCCCCAGTCCCCAAGCTGCCCCTTTTACCACTGAGTTTCAGAATTCCATCTCCCATTTTTTTCCTACAGTCATACTAGTCTTTTTCTAAACTTGGCCTCCTCAGTTCTTGCTCATCCACCTCTAACTATTTATTCCATTCTACGTTTTTCTTGAGCATTTTGCATCCATCCACCCCTCATTCATAGCACAGTTCTTCAGTTTTGCATCCAAAGACTATGGTACTTCCATATTCAATGAGGTCTGCAAAAGCTCCTTTAACACACTAAATACAGAAGTCTTATAGACGACATTTGTATTAGTGGATTAAACAGCAACATTCCTAGATAGTGGAACATGCTAATCTATACAGTTGTTAGAACACTGGTATGATATTGACTGTGCAACTTAGCAGTTGCTCCAAAAACACTCTTGGGTATGCAAGTTTTGACCAGGGAAAAGGCCATCTTGTTTTGGGGGACTGAATTTACACAGCCTACTCCATACTGGTGATTCTCAATGTCAGGGAGTGCTGCTGGGTATGTTTCATGTATCAGAACAGATATAGCCATTGCGGTCCAAGTAGTTCATGTGTCAAAATGATTGGGAATATATGGGGTCAGACAATGTAATCTTAAATTTAACTGCAGTGTGAAATCAGACAACTGGATAAAGCAATGAAGAAGATACCAAAACGTTGCCAGATAGTAGATTACCTCTACTGGGTTTTTTGATTGTCTCTAGAAGGAAATTCCCACTTTCTCTTCTTTGAACTGGAGGAAGTTCCATAGACAGTGATTCCACATCAGGGAACTAGAGAAAAGTAAGAAAGAGGGCTTAGGTCTCCCAACTAAACACTTATGGAAAAAAACCCCAGCAGACACCTCCCTCCCTGCTGGGGGGGGGGGGAAAAAAAAAAAAAAAAAGAAGAAAAAGGAAGGAAAAAGAGAAAAGGCGTGCAAAGGAAATAAATAAGCAGAACCAAAGAGGTAACTATAAAAAAAGATCTACATAAGTATACCTCAGATTCCAAAGTGCATTTCTGAGTACGCTTGATGCAGTTACAGCATTTATCAGGTGAGATTACAACAGGAAAGTTCCCAAGGCCACCTTTAACCCAGCAGGGTTAGTCTTACCAATTCCCTTTCCAGTTAGCAGAGAGAGGTTTGTGAGGGGCAAGTGAAGAGACCTGAGGTTCAGCTGCTGCTCTGAATCAGACTCTCTCCAGAGTTTATGTAAAGAAACTACAGAGTTTGTACTCAATAAAGATACACCACCTCCAAGATACATTTCCTTTGACAAGGGCATATAATTCTCAGTATTCTGACACAACTGTCCTCTGTAATAGTTTGAGATAAATTGAGGCTGAGATGTAAACCCACAACTGTCTTTGTGGGAGTATGGCAGAAACTACCTGGCCTAACACAAACTCATCCAGTTTTCAGCTACATTACCTTTTTCCGGAAAAACTCCTTGCCAAATTCTGATTCAAAATAAGGAGGAATTATTTTGTTTCTTATTGCCATTAAGGTCTTCTTTTCTTCATCAAGTTCTTTCCTAAGTAAGTTTTAACATTGTTGGTAAAGCAAAGAAAGAAAAAAGCATTATAACTGAGTTCAATGTTTTAAACATAATACTGAAAAACAGGGTGAAGAATGAAATTGATAAAGGCAAGAGGCTTTTTTTTTTCCTGGTTAATCATATTCAGCAATATTCTTGTAATTGGCAATTTTTTCAGTGATAGATCAAGAACAAGCTGATCTGGCATGCACACACAATGTCCTCCTCAGATATGGAGGACATGATTCACAGAAAGGCTGATCAAAATGCATATAGACAGTGGGTTGGCTGTGATGAAGAGCTCCTCCTCAAAACATGCTCCATTTCTCTGAATCTTGTGGAACATGTCTGAGACTGCCAATAGTGTCTTTCCAACCTTCCAACAAACATTTAAATCTGAGAATTGCTATTTAGATGTATTGTTAAAATTTGTAACACAAAATTAATCTAATTTCCGTATTTTATCACAGAAAAACTTGATGGCTCTGTGGATACAGAAAAAGCTGTTCAAACTTCTGAAGGTAAGAGTCACCAGAGTAAAGATCAGTTATGTTTTCAGCTTGATTTAGTCCAGTTTTACACTACTATAGTTTCACTGACTTGCAGGGTCTAATATGAGTTATGAAATTATAATTCTTAATCATATTGAGAGTTCTGACACTGGCTTTAGAGCCAGAATTGCACCTGATGTTCTTGGGTGCTGGCTACTCAGATACATATATTTAAAGTCATTCTTTAAATAGTATGCAAAACAGTGTAAAATGTTATATTAAAATACAAATCTGAAATTCTGAAGGATTTTTTTATCTCATGCAATTCAGAAAGTAATTGAGAAGTAGTACGGAAAAGAACTTAGTTTTCAATTGTTATTTAACCTTTCATAAAAATAAGAAAGAAAAAGCATGTTTCTGATCATAATATTACTTCATCACCATTTCAAGTTATTGTGTTTAATCTAAGAAATAGTGAATGACCTAAATAGCTGTCAATATAATTATTTTACTTCCATTGTGAATGAATGTATGTTACTGATAACTTTCTCTGAGTTAATCCTAGTTCATGTATCAGGTCTTCTATTTCAACATAAATTAAATGCATATTTTTAATTCTTTAAATTTAAACAGTTGTGCTTGTATTACACTGAGGAATTTGTCATTCTGTGAGATTCACAAAGCCCTTTCCTCTAGAACTGAAAATTATAATGGTTTTAGTGCACAATGCTTAAATGAGAAGATTTTGTGTGGTACTAAAGAAATACATAATGCAGCAATATAATTATGTCTTTCCATAGAGTAACAGTCTGTAAATTTACTTTTCAAAAATCATGTTTTTCTTTTTCTCTCAACTAATAGTGGCTTTGAGATTACTCCTTTTTTTTAAAAATGTTTTTGTGAATTATCATATCTGCATATTGAAATCCAGTGACTTCCAATTTACACCTGAGCAGAAATTCTCATGAAAATTTATCTCATTGTGAAATGTGCATTTTTAGCAATATATGCTGTTTCAAAGCATCTATATAGAGGTTTTTTTTTTCTTGAATTCATCAAACAGCTTCACCATTCATCAGCAGGACAATCTTTTACAAACTTGAATGCAAGTGGAATCAAGGAGATTAAAATTAAAATGGAGGGTCAGCCTTAAAGATAACTTTCAGTGTTACAAAGATTTTTATGTTTATACACATACACACATACATTTCCTCCTGTAAAAGCACTTCTAATCTGAAGATTATAGCACCTGCCTCAGAACTGCCATGAGAAATACTTTACAAACAGGAAGTTGAGGTACAGGTAATTCCCAAAGTAGAATGTTCAAATGTGGCAAAATAGGTCTTGCTTTAGTAAGGCATTGATTTTTAAGATGACCTCGATCTTAATGTTCTTCTTAAAGATAATGAGTTTACCTCCTGTCCACATGTTTTACCTCCTAAAGTGTCCTTGGAAACGCAGCTGCATTTCCAAGGTGTAAACCATGAGTGTATCCTGCATTTTACAGTGCGGTATACAATGAAGTGGGGAGGGAGAGAAGCCTCAATCATCAAGTGAGGAAGCAATGGACATGGTATGCAAGCAAAAGGCCAGGGGTGATGTGAACAGAAGGGACATCGCAATCAACAAAACAGGGCTGAATTGGGGTCACACCAAGCATCTAAGTAAGGAAATGCGTACAGGATGGCATTATGGGGAACGCTTTCAGACCCCTCTGGGCAACTGGCATTGGCTGGGTGCCTATCTGAAATGCCTGTACACTACTGCATGCAGCCCAGATAACAAACAGGAGGAATTAGAAGTCTGTGTGCACTTACAGGGCGATGACCTCATTGGTATCACAGAGAAGTGGAAGGATAGCTCACACGAACGGAGTGCTGTGTGAATGAATACCAGGTAGATGGGGCTTTCTTCAGACAACTGGAAGAAGCCTCATGTTCATAATACTTGGTCCTCCTGGGGGACTTAAGCCACCTCACCCACCACTGGAAAGCAGCTCTGCAGAGAAGGACCTAGGAGTCCTGGTGGACACCAAATTGAACATGAATCAACAGTGTGCCCTTGCAGCAAAGACGACCAGCAGAATCCTGGGCTGCGTGAGGAGTGTTGTCTGCAAGTCCAGGGAGGTGAACCTTTCCCATCTGCTCAGCACTGGTGAAACCACATGTGGAGTACTGTGTCTGTTTCTGAGCTCCCTGATACACAAAAGGGCCACGAAGATGATTAAGGGTTTGGAGGATCTTTCACATGAGGAGAGGCTGAGGGAGCTGGGACAGTTTTGCCTTGAGAAGCTTTGAAGCACCACCCATGTGATAGACATGTGTCCGGGGTTCTATTTGAAAAATCAACTGAGATTTGTGGAATCCCTAAATCTTAACCTAAACCATCAGCATTTGAAAATATGAATATAAATTATTTTCCATGCTGGTGGCAGAACCAGAAAATGGAACACAGGGCTTCTGACCTCAGCCTTGTTTTGAACAGTGTAAGTTAACAGTAACACTGCTATGTTTTGGAAAAAAAAAAAAATTGGACAGACTCAAACCATCCATTCAGCATTTCTGTTGCAGAGGACAACCCATTATTTGCTAGCAAACCATTGGACCATTACCCAAGACCTGATGAAATCAGTAACAGTCTTTCCAAGAGCAGAATTAAGTTGGCTCATAAAATAAATAACTTTCTATCCTACTAATACTATTACCTGTGCTCTTCTAGTCTGCTCTGCCACTTGGACACTGGTGTTACTCCTTCTGGGCTGAATGATCAGGAATGAAAAATAAGTAGTGAAAATAAGAAAACTAGCATTATGTTCTATAAGCACAGAAGTGTTTACAAGAAAGAAAATGCTATTTATAAGAGTATGTTATGTTAACATCTCAGGTGACTCCTGACTTGGACTCCTATAGTTTACACAAAATTGTTCACTCACATCTGCATTTTTATTACATTATTCAATCAAAGAAAGTCTCAAAATCCTCTTCCAACAGACTTCAAAGAATTTTTCACATAAGGAAAGAGAGGCACAGAGGGAAAAAATAATCAGAGGAAAAGCTAGTAAAATGTTGTGATATGTATGTAGAGATCTAGGTCTCAGTCCTTCATGACAGTCAGTAAAGTATGTTGTCTTCCATGTGTGCTTGGTTCCATCCTTTGTGTTATTTACATTTGCATCACTTCTCACTGGTCTGTCCTACCTGAACCTCTGCTGTTGGTTCTCTCTTTGCGTAGTGACTGTCTTTTCTGTGTGACACTGGCGATGAGAAGTCACTGCCTGTTCATAGAGCTCCATTATGTGAGCTGCAAGGTAAAGAGTATTATTGAACGTGCGTGTTCTGCTAAGCACTGCTAAGTGTTATGAGTAAAAACCATAAAAGGATATATTTTTAATGCATCTTTCTGTCACTTGATGAAAACCTAACAGATTCTTTATTACTGTGAGGGAAGAAGGAGAAAGAAATTCATTCCAAAATCAAGTCCAGAGTATTAACAGATAGAAAATTAATTCAATTCAATGTAGAAAGCACCAGAAGCAGATGAAGTTCATACCCCCACCCTGTATTTCCTGAAATATCTTTATGTTCTTTCAAGATACAAATCAAATACCTGTGAATAGGAAAAGTTGCTGACATTCAGCCACTTTCTGACTGGGGAGCAACATTCCAGGTCTCTGTCTCCAGCTGAAGAATATAATGTGGGCTTTCAGGGACCTTTATTACTTTCAGCTTACCCAAGTTGTGCTTAATTGTGGTTGTGAAGCAGCCATAATTAACATTTTCATGGAAGGAACTACTAGTTCAATATGTATAATGGAGAACAGCCAGTCTTTCCATATCTAAGCCTGTGACCAGCTCTGGGGCTTTAATAAAGAGTTTCCCTGTCCTCTGACATCTGTTATAAAATGTGTTGTTTACTTCATGCCTTGAATCTATACTGTGAGTCCAAAGAAATTTCACAGGTTTAAAATAAACTTCTGTGGCAAAACTTAGGAGATTTGAGTATTTGAGAGAGATGTTCCTATTTGACTATCACAATATCTCTTAGTGTTTTGGGAATTATGTAATTGCAAACTTCAAAATTTGGGGTTTTTTCAGTCAGCTTTTTCACCATAAAATATATTTTTATTTTTCTGCTTTTTCTATTTTTACCTCTTTTAAAGAGGTTTTCTTTCCCACTGTCTTCTTCATAATGTTATGTTAAAATTGCACCTCCATTTGAATCAGCACACTGTGTAGCAAGCATTTGTTGAAGCAGTTGCCATTTACTTTGCACAGTATCCTTTTTTTAACAAGTGGAAATATTCTTGACAAGGCAAGAAGGGCAGAAAAATAACACTTTAAAGGTTAGCATCACTATGGAATTGAATACTATGGATTTTTCTTTGGATTTTTAAGAGAAACAGATCTTAATTTTTATTTGTACATACTGAAAACATTAATAAATGTTAACAAGTATCTTACGAAAACTTTAACAGAAATTCAAGAGGGAAAGCTCATACATTGTTTCATCTTTTCCCTTAGGCAAAGATTAATGGAACCAAAACACATGATCATTTGAAATCAGATTTTCAAGTGTAACAAATAACCAGGATTTATCTAGTTGCTTTCAAAAACTTGTCTGAAATTGATACCTGTATAAAAGTAACCAAGTTCTATCATAGTTCTTATACCTAAGAAAACTCAATACATGTGGAAATGTGAGTCAAAATGCCAAATACACATGCCTAAACATAGGAATTGTTTTTTAGAGGTACTGAATCATTGATGCTAACAAGTTCTAATCACCTGTGAAAAATCACACAGAAGCATGTACACAGCACATAGATGAATTCACCTTTATGTTCCTTCTTTAAAAATAATACTGCAGTACTTTAAAACTTACTATGGTATTTTACAATTTTAAAAGGTAGATACTCAATTTTTATTACCTCTATCACTGAGATTTTGAGTTGACTTCTCCCAGTCAGGGAAGGTCTGCAATAAAGAAGGAATAACTGTGACCATGTGAGAAACAGACCTCACAACAACAGCATCCTGCTCAAAGGATTTCCATCCTAAACAAGTGTTATCTTGTTACCTGAAAATGTGACTACAAGAATGGAGGTATTTCAGTGTGTTACAAAACATGAGCTGGGACAAAAGGAAATGAAGTACAATTTCCCTGATCTAAACAGGTGTTTGTTTCCTTCTTGATGACCTACTTCACAGGTGGCTTTGTATTTTATATGGTTGCTGTTTATTAAATCAACCAAGCCAATTCATAATCAAACTCAAATCCTTCTGCAAAGGATTTGAACCAGATCTAAAACTCATGGTCACAACAAGAAGTCAAATGGGAAATGTGTTCAGGAATTTGTATACATCATTACTGAGGAGCTCTCTTGTGGTTGGTTTACAGTAAAGTGTTTGAGGTGTAAAAGACTCTAAACTAAGCTGTTTCCTTTGTTCTCATGCTGTCCCTGAAGCAGTTAACTGGGAACCAGAGTTCCTGTAACCATGCAGTCTAGGTTGTAACAGAGCTAGGGAACAGTGGAGACTTGGGAGCAGTGTGACACCGATTCCTGGGTCACAGCAGGCCCACAGTGAGACTCTCCTGCTCAGACAAGAGCTGTCCAATGTGAAATCTGTACCTGGAAATGTGCTTATGGTAGCCAGGACAATCAACAATAATTAGTCACTAGACAAGTTCATTGGGACTGAGCATCATGTGAGAATGAGCACTTGGATCTCAAAGCAAATAAATGTCTGCCTAGAGGACAGAGGCAGATGGAGATACTGATAGATCACTTCTCTATGTTCCTCCTTCCAGAAAAGGTGTGAGCTCCTTCCTGTTTTTTGCTAGATACCTCTTTTCTCTATGCTCTTTTTAAGACTTGTATGTCACCTGAAAGTACTGAACAAAAAATATATACAAAAGCTTGTAATATAAAAAAAAAAGCTTTAGTTTCAGCAAATGAAAATGCTAAATTAGCTAAGAAGTTCAGAAACAAACTCTAGAATTACATGGAATTTTCTTTAAGCTTGTATGGGTTAAAAAACCAGTAAAGTTATAGATCTATCCAGAAAGCTAGGAAATTGACAGCATTTAAAACTGGAAAGATCTCATTCCTAATGTTTTGCATGTTGAGACAAGGTTTAAAAGGTAGACTTTAAGGCTAAGATCATGTTTGTTTGCTAGAATACACTCACTTTTCAAAGGTCAACAGATCATCTGGAAGTGAATATTTAAACTAACATGGCTAGATCTTGTTTTTCAAATGCCAGATTTCTTAATTCAGTATGTTTGAATTCACTATATGCATGTTATTTGATTAAATGGAAATAAAAGTATTTCCTAAATGAGACTAAAAAAGAAAAGTGTTTAATAACTACTAAAAATCTAGCATTTGAATTCAAAGCATGCAAAGTGCCAAATTTAAAGGAAGCTGTAGGAAACAAATTATTTAAAGAACTGAAATAAAGCAAACCGATCACTCTTTTCCTAAGATGAAAGCAGTGTTTCGCATTCATCCTAATTCATTCCACGCACTTCTGCTGCTTGAACTTTTCTAATTTTTTTTAACCACTCATCTCCCACTAAACTCACTGTTTCCTGACTGCTACTCCAAGTCCCTCTTCCCCTATTTACCCACCTTTCCCATTGCTTATTCCCCTCCCTTTGTTTTTCATGCTCTAATTATCTGTGCAAATTAGCAGAGCACATTTTCCAAGAGATATAAATGCTGCTCAGCAGTAATACCAGTATTCCTCCAGATTGTTTTTGGATTATCCCAAAAGCAGAGTTTAAACTCTCACTATGGCGGTGGCTGTGGTTGAAATACAAGTCTCCCAGCTGCAATGACAACAGACAGGAAACATTCTCATCCTATGTTGGGGGATATATACATTTCAGTAATTTTTGCCTGTGTGTTTGGGAAAGTGTCATTCCGTAGAGCCAAACTCTTGAACTGTTTTGAGTATTGCTTCCCCAAAATGGCAGTAGTGCCATTCAGTAGCTCAGCTGAATGCTGAGTGTGGCTACACTTTACCATAAAGATACAGCAGAGCTGGCACTGTGCTAGCCTAACATTTGCTATTTTATTAATGGATAATAATGTGTTTTAACGCTGACATTTCCAATGCAATACAATGGTTTTGTTGGAAAAAGTAGTTAAAAATTGTGTTTTTCTCACTGTAACCAGTTCAAGGAGACTTGCAGCATGCTCCTTTTCCTCTTCTGTTCTTGGTTCTTTTACATTCATCTCTTCCAGCTCATTTTCCTGCTTTAAAATGTTGTCTATATATTCCTGGTGGAACAATGAAAAAGAACAAGAAAGATGCAGATGTTTTCTTTGCAGAGGCAGACTTAAGGGGCACATATATAGACAAAAGAGTTTGTAGAAGTAATATACATGCTTCTTCTCAATGTCATGAAGGCCCCTTCTGTGAATTTGTGTGAATAGATATAGATATCTAAAGGTTTGCGTGGAGAAATAGTTTATAAAAACCCCACCAGGTCAAAGAGAGGAGTACATGCTGAGAAGGTGGCAGGTGAAAGCTTACCAAGGACTCTGAAGACTAGCAAGACTATTGAATCTGCAAGAACTAATATACTACGGACACCGAGAGTTTGCTGAAGCTCTACTGGGGCAATAGCACACATTAGCCTCCACAACGAACTGCGAGAGTCAGACCACAGCCAACAGCTATCTAGATGCCTCTGGTGTGTCAGGGTGACTCCCTGCTTCTGAGCAGGCTGGTAGGTTTGGCCTCCCAACTGTTGCACCAGCTAGGCAAGTAGAGTGAGCATGGAACTGTTTGAGTAAACTCTCTGAGTGAATAAAGGAATGCGTTGTGTAAATAGCTACTATTAATAATCATCAATTATATTATTATGATCAGCTTAATGATTAAAAGGTGTTCTAACAAACATTGTTTGTGATCTGTATCTCCCTCCTGTTTGATCTGCTATTAGGGAAAAGGAAATTTACAACATCATAATTGAAAAATTAGGTTCAGAAAAAAATCTGAAGCTCTAGTTTTAGACAGATGTTTACTCTGCCAGAATCACACTAACTGCTACAGAAAAAAACAATGTTCTTTTTCCCACATTTCTTTATGCTTTAGAAGATCAGTTGGATGGGAAAAAAGGGTCCTTACAGAAGGTTGTCCTAACACACCACTCTGCTAGAAAGTTACATGCAGTACTGAGTTTTATGAACGGACAAGGTTTACAGAAGCAATCTGTTTCCAGTTCCAGTTCTTTTTCATTCCTCTATACCTCTTAAATCTTAGAGGAGATGGCGAAAGGAAGAATACCTTTTTCTTTAGATCTTGATTTAGTTCTGAAAAATTGAACATTTAGCTAAAGATTTAAGATACCTCTTTCTGGAAAAATCCATTAATTAAGTACTGATATGAGCAATGAGGGTATTTCCGTTACGCATTAACACAATTACTACAAATGTTTTCTCAGTGCCAATAATTGCAATTCTTCCTTCCCAATGTAACAAACAGCATTTTTCCTTCTCTAAAAGCCAACAACGGATCTGGTCAATGGAGACCCTTACCTTGGGATTTTGGTGTGGAACTTCTTTTTATAGCATTGCCTTTGAAAGGTCAGTATGCAAATTAAAGAATCATTTTTATATATCGATAGCCTGTAAAAGGGTAAAATTTAGTTCTGATAAACTGGCATGTCCCAAACATGCCCGGGCTGAACAGCTGTCAATGTTTTTCTATTGCTAGTATGTCTTCTATAAAATGTAACAGGACAGGGGGCAATCTAACTGGCTACAACATGCTACTACCTTCACAAATTTCACATGCCGTTAACTTTCAGATTCAGTCTGCAATGCCATCATCAAAATACGTTAAATAAATAAATTATAGAACACATGTATTTTGTTATTTTCTAATTAGTAAGTAATAATGAGGTTTTAACTCTAACATCTCTTCTAAGAGCATCTTCACAATGTAAATTAAATAAATCAATGTTTTACAACAACACTGAGAAGTGCAAAGCTGCTGGCAAGGATCAACTGCAGAACTTTCAGGTTCCATCTCAGAACACTTGCACACAAGGTGTAGCTTGCACATTGTTATGAACAGGTCACTAATGAGGGATGGATACCCTCTTTGTCAGAAGGCTACATAGGTATTTGCTAGGCATGGATAGAGTGACAGAACTCAGACTTGAACCTGGAAGTGTTCTATACTGATTTATGAAAACAAACACCTAACAAAGACTAGAGTGTGTCTCAGTGACCAAGTTAACTGTAGAATTATGGTTGGTTAGAAATTCTTGTACAGCTTTATAGATTTAAGTTTTTAAGGCTTTGTGAAGGAAAACAAACTCTAAGCAAAGTAAAAGCAAAGTAAGAGATATCAATATTGACAGCAAAGAAACTATTTGTTAGTGTACTATCTGTGATGTGTACTGGACTGGATCTCACGTATTTGCACAGAAAAGTAGCTTCCACAAGAGATGAGTGAAAACAGTTGAGCTGCTTCAGAAATACACTTTTCTTAGAGCACCTGTCTACGTATGAAACGTTGATTGTTCTTCAAATGTAGTAGATTTTTTTTTGTCTCAGGTATATACTGCAAATTCATGTCACCCAATTTCCCAATTTGTCTATTCTCTGTTGCTACTGGAAGAATGAATAAATGTGATTGTACTACCTTGAGGGAAAGCTGCAGCTTTTCTCTTAGTTCATCACTGAGTGGCTCATACTGGAATAGCTGACGGATTTGCAGTTTATTAGGACATTTTCGCACAGATACTGGCATGCATGTCTGCTCTTTGGATCCAATGCAGAGACCCCTCCAAATATGTGTTCTCACTGAGGGACCTGTGATCTTCCTCTGAACATAGACAAGAACAAGCAAAAAGAGCAAGAGGCTACTTATATTGCTGACTAAATGCAGATATCAGCAATGTGTCTCAGCTGAAAAGCACATGCTCTCCTTAAAGCATCATAGATGTAGACAATAAAGCCAGTAGATTCCTGGGCACAATTTATCTATCCTAAAACCTCTTCATCTGGCAAGATGAACTCCCCTTAAAATTGTTATATCCCCCCACTGACTGTAAAAGAAGCACAGGGGGACTACAATTCCCCTGACACAGCCTACCTCTTGCTTTGTCGGCTTAATAAACTGAACGTAACAGTGTCACATTGTTCAGAGCTCCATTTGCCCACAGTGACAAACATCTATTGCTTAAGCAGGAAAAGACAATTTTGAAACAATTATACCTCAAGAGGAGAAAACGTGTCCTGGGTCCTTGACTGAAGATTTGGAGGAACAATACTCTCTGGTTCTTTCTTCATTATCCAGGGGGAGGCTTCAGCCAAAGGGCGGAGGATAGTAATACTTAAAACACCTGGTTCAAACACACATTTTGCTAAGAATCAGTTCAAATCAAAAAATGATGGACAAGTATCTCAGACCTCCAGAAAAATATGCTTACCTAAGTATATAAAAAAAAAATCTTATTATCAAGTGGTAAAACTCCATGTGAAAATGTGATACTCATGGCTACACGTAGTATTGGATGACTGAGGTGATTACAGAATAGCTGGACAAGTTCACATTACTCAGACCATGTTTAACAACAGACTACCTATGCTACTTGCTTTGATTCTTGGGTAACAGCTCAGTTGTATAGTGTGTGGAGTATCCCAAACAAGGAAGAGCAGACCATTGACCCGTGTTTACTGAATACTAATCTCAGTAGTAGTACATCATATTCAGAACATGCATAATTCTTCAATGTATTTTATACTTCACAATCTGATCACTGGATGGATTCCATTAGACATTATTTATTTTTATTTTTCTAATCAATTTTAATGTTCATCAAAATATTTTTTTCCAACCCAACCCAAAAATCTACTTAATCTACTATTATCTACCCCAGAGGTGGCCTTCCAAATGGATATCACCACTGAGGTACTTTCTCACAATGACACACAATTGTGAAGCCTTGTTGTCAAGGCAAATAGAACCAGTACTGTGAAAGGTAGAGTATGAAGTCTGGAAAAGCACATGTGCTACTATTACAAATGACTACTGGTTGTGAGCAAGTTTTCTTGACTGGAATTTTCACTGGGTATATACCTTATCCATCTTCCTGATCTTTCCACCTTCTGTGTCTTTCTGACTTCCTCAGTGCCCTTTCTCTTTTCCTTTCCCATTGAAAAATTATTTCATTCATTTTCCACAATGGTGAACTAGTCATTATTGTGAATAGAAGTAGCATTTAAAAATGTGCAAAATCTGGTAAGAGTATAAGGTGGGAAAGCTGTTCCCCATGCTTATGATACAAATCTTTGATAAGAATGTCTTAGTACTTTATGGTTTGAAGTAAACTACCCTTATCCCCTCATATCCAAGGGAACCATATGTTCCTGTCCTTTTAAAGATTTTTTTTTTTTCCTTAGGATCTACCTGTTATGCCACAGTGTGTTCTGTAGAAACACAGTATCTCCAACTAACTTTACAATGATAGATAACCAATCATTTCAGGATGTAACTTCTTGCATTGCTACTATGAGGTGGTTGGTGGTATATACTATTGGCATCCCCTATTTCAGTCATGTTTTTCCAGCTTCTTCATAACATATATTTATCCTTTCCAATAGTCAGAATAAGGGTCAACATCAGAGTATCACTGTCTTCATTGCTAAATAGAACTATATCATTAATGAAGGCTGTGATACATTCGATGTTTTTTGATGTTTTTTGATGGTAATAAACAGAGAATCTATGCATTTGGTAATCACTTTTGTTTGTGTGTCTGAGAGTGGATAAAGATATGCCACCTGTTCGTCACTTATCCCTTCACAGTGTTATTCAGTTAATCTTCTGCTTCCCAGAGTTTTCCCACAAGCTCCTTCTTCCCTGTGATTCACTGCCAGAAGTGTGGGCACTTGTCTACATGGGGAAAAACATTTTAAAATTTCCTGTCCAAACAAGAGCTTTGAAATTTACGACTCCACCTTTAAAATTATTTCTGTCATTAGTTTGTCAGAAAAGAAAAGCTTCCTACCTGGACATTCTTGTACAGGATCCTGCAAGACAGCAACAGCAGGATCACTACAGGCCTTGGCTAGATACTCATGTACCTCCTTACTCCGCAGGAGCTCAGTTCCAGAACCATCTGCGTAGATGATGAAGAACCTACACAGCCAGCCACACACATTGGACTGTATCAAGGAAATGGAACTCCAACACAATGACATCAAATGTGCAAATACGGAGTACTGAACAAAGGAAGCACAAATCTACAAACCCTGTACAAATACAGCATAATGAAGAAAGAAAGTGTAAACCTATGAATCCAATGCAGTTTACCTGGGGACATGCTCATCGTAAGTAATAGGTTTGTTAGCTTCTCGGAGTACTGCTGCTGAACTTCCATCCTCCTTGTCAGAGCCAATGCTGGGAACATACACATTTGTGCTGCCATCAGCCATGACCTGTAACAGAAATTACATAAAATGACTTGAGTTAGATGACACTTTTAAAACAGTAACTTGCTGCTGAACTTTAATATGACCGAGCCCAGTGAAAGAGACAGAAGAAACATACTGCATGTTGAGCAACCTGAAATTCATAGGAAAAACAAATTAAGAAGAAAACTGAAAAGGCAGTGAAAAAAGCAAAGCAAGCATTTCTAGAAAGACATGCCATATCATAAATACTAATATCACATGCTGATATTTAATAGATGCTCAAGGACTGTTAGTTGTCAAACAGGGCCATCCATGCTTACATTCCATATGCAACATATATATCTGCAGGCATCAATAGGCAGCTTCACACAAAAATACTCAGTTGCTGGTCAAGCCAGGTAACTGTGTATTCAGACAGCCACTGATGTATCTCTGTGAGGTATGTATGTATCTACATATATACACTGACACACACTCAGAGACACAGAAACACACAAATATATACATAATTATATATATATGTCTATATGGTAATATGTTAGTTAATAATCAAACAGTACATACATATATACTCCTATATAGGTGTATATATAAATATAAATGTGTATATACATACAGGTGTGTATATATAGGTATACAGGTAAATGTGAATAAATGTATACATTTATATATATACACATCTATATACATGTTGATATGTGAAGAGATATAGATGACATAGATAAGATTATATATTTACATCTATTTACCTATAGATATATATAAGTATATATTTACAGAAGAGGCCCTTTTCAGGCATTCATTCACTTTAAAAATGTGGTCTCGGATAATCTCATAATATCAAGTGAATTTCTGCAGTATTTTCCTTCTTGAAAGTACTGTGCAGTTATTAACTAATGTGCCATTAACATATACAAACAAGGTAACTAACAATGAATAACCACCTAACAAGGAATAATAATGCCTTTGGAAGATACAGTTTAAACCAGAGCGATTCAAAGGGCAGTCCATGAACTGAATCTAACACACTCAATCCACACCCTTTTTGCTGTAGTCTCAGGTGTGACTAGGACAGAGGAAGAACCAATCCTGTAACACCTGCACCTGGCTGCCATCCCTACCAACCATGCAGAAGGTGAAAATTGAACTTGAGGAGCTGGATAACAGCTGATTGTAACAGTGGCAGGACCCAAAAGCTGGCTGCCTCCTATTGTATCTGTACACAATGAGAAGCTTAGATCCATGAGTTGTTACTGGTCCTGCATCCACATGCTCCATCACATGAGCACTTACCCAATGAAAATGGGGTCTTGAGAGGAAAACAGTGGGATGATGTAAATAAAAGATACTCCATTAATGGCAAAACCAATGAAACTTGTTTTCCCTATAGTTATTCTTCATGTCTGCACCCTCTCACACTGCATTAATCTCATTTTTCTTACTACAACTCATATCCCCTGTGACCACTGCTCCCACAATACCTTCAATTGCCCCCCAGTCTCCTCAACCTTCTTCCTTTCTTCCCTAAGTATCAGCTGAGAAAAAGCAGGATGTGCTAATGCTGATGCCAAGCAACTTCTATGCTGCTTTGAATTGCACTGATTTTCTAGGAACTTGGTATCTTTGAAATTTCTGTCCCTGTGGTTGATTAGTTCAAAATTTGTTAGGGAGAGTCTGACACATAGCATAGATTTATATAAGCACTGTTTCTTCAGCCAAGTTAAAAACTGTATTATAATGCATACGTCCTGGGGAACCTCAGTGCTGTTTTGCAGGAATCTGGAAAATGGTAGTGATTACAGTTGCAACAATAGAAAGTATGCTCTAAGGATGTCACATTTATAATCTTTAATTAGACTCTTAATTAGGAAACAGTATGCAGGTCACAGACACTTAGATGATGTTCTTGGAACTCAAAACTAAGTACTAACCTAGCTTAAATGTATCGCTTAGGTGTGAAAGGATCACAGCACAAACAGTATGACTTTACAGACTGAAAATTCCTTTTACAATATTTGCCTTACCAGGCAGATTAGAATTTTTCTATGGACCTTCTGAAAAGCAAATATCCTCTCTCACTTTTAATCCTCATTTGCATAGCTGATTTTTTGCTATAATATGAGTCATGCTAATTAAGGTAACTTTACAGCTGAGGTAAACTGTAGACTACGTGTTTTATTTCAGTTTCTCTAAAAAAGGGGGGATACCAAAAAAGGGAAATTGATCACATAAGCAAGAATGTTTCGGAGACCTGATTCAGGAGCTGTTCCCTTCTAGCTAGCTAGGCTACTTTAAGAATAAGTATTACAAGGCTACACGTTGACATTGAGAGATAATTAAAATGCAGAAACTAGTTTCCTTCCATGTATTTTACCTTGAAAATATTTCCTTCAGGATCCATCATCTCACAAATAGTGCTGGAAGTGTGTTTCATAATGTATCTCCCTGCTTGTTTCTCTTCTTTCTTGCTGATGAAATTGCAGACTTCATGGGTATAAACTGCTGAGCAATCCTCATCAATAAAAAGAGAGCCTGTCTTGATGGGTAAAACCTACGACAGTAAAAAGGGAAGAGGTTCAGTTCCAAAAGGTGAAACCTTCAGTTTAGAGGTACCATGAAAATGAAGAACAGATGCAAATCAAGAAGAGAGTTTTCAGACCTTTACTACTGAATCATCCAGCTGTGAGGGACTGAAGGGAGAAAGAGAAGGAAGATGAGGTCCAGGAGGTGGGCTGATGTTAGTCTCTGTAATATTTTCTTTAATTTCAGAAAATTTAAGATTGTGATTTAAATATACTACACAGCTGTGAGTAAATATCTAAATATTGGCAGAGTATAAAAGAGATGGAATCATAGGATTTGTGAAGGCTATAGAGAAGGGAGTTAAAATAGTCAAGGTGAGAGCTGTGATGGCAGGGAACTTGGAATACAAAGATACATTTCACTGCCAGAAACTAAAAACAATTCCCACCTGGTATGTTCCCTGTGGCTTTGCTATAATAGATGTCCCATCTCCAAAGATAGTACAACAGGTACCATCCTCACAATTTGTTATAACAGTAGCAAACTCAGGATTCTCTACTTGCATACATTTCACCTTCTTTGTGGTGGCTTCTGAGGGTTCATCTAAGAATTAATACAGAATGATGAGACAGGAGCACATGAAACATGGAAAGGTCTTAGGATTCAATTTGCTTTTTCTCTTATAGGGCTGGATCTTTACCTCCTCAGTAAAATACCCTCGTAAACTTCATAGCATCCTTTATCACGTAATTTTATGTTACGTAAACAATATGCAACCTTTGAATTACTGGACTGCACATTCAATATAGGGAAATCCAACAGCAAAAATGTCTGTAACCATCTGTGGCTGGCCAGGAGAGTATACTCTAACTTATCAAGTACAGTACTAGCCATAATTACCTGGATATTTGTAACATACAAGTTGGATCACTGAAATTCTTTATGCCTGCAGTACAAGCTCTAAGATGTAAAGAAATTCCTATTCAGCACCACAAATCTTGGAAAACAAGTCAAGCTGGTGTGTTAATCTGGCCACTGCCTTCCCATTGAATAGACAGATCAGTTCAGGGTCACTGTTTTGATTTTTAAAATCCCACAGGGAGATGTTCCTGAACATTTCCTGCTGAGTAACTATCTTTTCCTACACAACCAGAACTTCCTACTCTGTTTGGACACCCACACAGTGAATGTACACTTCACGTTAATTACAGAAGACAGGACTTGTCCAGCAAATGAACTAAGCATACAGAACATACTGCCAGTCAGAAGAAACACAGATGACCATTATCCCCACTTATTTCAAGGAAATACAAGTTTCACGTCTGTAGGTGTGGCATTTTCCATGACCATATTCAATCAAACTTTCAGTATCTCCAAGGCGGGCCAGTCCATGGCTTCTCTGGGGAGTATGAGGATGCCCTGATCCTTACATACCTCTTCAGTTAAGACTCAAATCAGCTTGCTTGCTAGTATTAGAATAGGTGCAGAGAGGGCAACGAACATCCTAGAACTCCAGCACTGTGGTCTCACGGTGAAGGTACGCCATGCAAGTATATACATGGAAAGAAGGAAATTCGCTTGTTTGCGATAATGTAGTTTTTACACTGAATACTGCTGAAAAAAAGACCAAGTAGACAAACTAAGCCTAGACTGCAGTAGTGGATTTGTTATCTAGGCTACTGGTATGAGCCTTCTTTAGTATATATTTTGACGATTATCTGCTTCACAAGATATTGGAGAGGTAAGTGCTCCCCTTTTGATTTTACCTGTTTCCTCACCATCCTTGGGTACAAAAACTTCTTCGCAGTTTTTATAAAAAGTTGTGATCCTAGTTCCATCAGCATGATCTACGACTCTGCTACCATCCAGCTTCTCAACAATTATCACGTCATCATCTCGTACAGTCATAAGCTGAAAGAATGAAGGAGCACTCATTTATATTAGCACTGTGATACGTGTAACAGCACCAACAGTAATACAAGGCATTATGTACTGAAATGCTGAAGAAGCTAGACTACTGCAACTTTATCTACTTCAGAGGCCAAGGAATCGCATTTTCTTCAAAATCTAAAGCTTTTGTATTACTAACAATGTAATAACACAACCTGTAGGATACGTGTTCAAAGAACAAATCCTACAACTTATATGACGGCAGCCCTGTCTCTTAGCTTAGTAGACAGTGCTATAAAAACACAAAAATAGTAATACCGTTCCATCAGCTGGGTCAGTTGCCTGATAGATTAAGAGTGGCTCCAGATCCATTCTCTTTGCTCCCTCAGTGCCCACTCGAATGCCTGATGGAGTAGTTGTTATCCAGGTTCCTGCCTGGTTCCCCTTAGGTTGCTCAGAATTAACCAGACCCTGAACAGTATTTTCAAACAACTCATCCTTGGTTGGGTGTGATATACTGTTTCTGTCACTGCCTTTTCCTGCAGAAATAAAGATTTCTGTATCAGACCTGGTATTCTCTAAGGCAAAAGACAAAAATCAATAAAATGCAGAGTTTCTGTGAATATTGGTTTTGAGAGAATTGAAAAAGAACTATTTGTTAGGCTGGAAGGAAATTACAAGTCCTGTTACTCAAAGGTTTGCCCTTGAACTAACCTTATTTAATGTGTTTGTTAATGACACAGAAAAAGTAAACAGCATGTTAATGACATCTGACTATGACATGACTTTGGAAGGGACTATGAATGCAGAAGAAAATCTGAATGCATTACAAAAAACAAAGCATCCAAAACTGTCCCATGAGCTTGAAGATTAAAGTAACAGGAATTTCATACAGCTTATTGGAATGAAATTTAATGTGAAAAGGAATGAAAATAATTTCTGCCTCAGACAAGTTTGCAATAGTAGAAGAAAAGAAAGACCTGGAGGTATCATCCATACAGAATGACTACAGGTTATCAGTGTGAAAATACAGGGACAAAAAAAGCAAACACAATCCTATGGTGCATCAGAAGAAAAGGGATGGAGATTCCATTGTGAAAGGGAATTAGAGAGATCTTATTAAGAATGTGATAGAGAACTGTAGTCTCCCATATTCAAGAAAAGGAACTTAGACTAAGTGTATGGAAAAGACAACAGCATGGTCCAGAGAGGAGTCTAAAAGGCTTACAGTATACACATCCCAGCAAAAAAAAAAATCCCAAAGCCAAAAAGAGATTAAACTGCTCACTAAAAAATTTGTCAAGATTAAGCAGTGGTGAGGAAAGGATAAGGAATAAAAGATACACACTGGCCACAGATACTGAGACTGAAAATTAGAAGATGATTTGTCAGAGAAGTTCTCAAACATCCTCCCAGTTATCCTAAGGAATATCTTAAGAACAAGGACTGGACTTGAAGACTCAGAAAATCTCTTTTTGAGAGACCTTTCTCTTTCGCAGCAATTTTTATTCATGTACTTCCAATAAATTATAAGTTAATATTATGACAGGTCATAATTATTCTGTGCACTAAGTAGCACTGATGGTGATCTCGGACTACGTTCTGAGGTATGAAGTAAACTTTTATTTTGTTCTTTCTCAGTCAAACAAAATAAAGTAAGAATAGTTATATTGGCACAGACCACAAGTCCATACAACTATGATAATGACCAGTAGTAGATGCCTGCAAGAGAAGCATTTCTCAGTACGAAGACTGAAAACTGTATAACACATAAGTAAGGAGTTGACACTACTGTAGTTACAAGGATTTATTTTAAAAGACTTTCTGCTGAATCACTCTGCTACCGATGCTGTTCTTACATACCCTTTTACTTATTAGAGTCCTAGTATGTTAGAAGAAAAAGAAATCTGGAGTTGGAGAGAAATGATTTGCTATGAAGGTAACAAATTAGCAGCATGCAGCAGCTGAGTATAGATAAAATTGCATTTTCACACTGGCAGTATTTTCAGACTAAAGAAATAGGCTCTTTATTAAGTATCATCAGCCCTACTAACTTTAAATCTGTCCAAAACACTGGAAATGTTACCTTTTTTAGTGCTGGTCTCAGATAAAGGCTCCAATTCTGGTAACGGTTGCATGTTATCTGGAATTGTAGGTGGTAGTAGGACAGGACCAGAATCAGGACTCCTACTCACCGTGCCATCAGCAAACAGAATCTACAGAAATCAAGGACATACTAGAGGTTAAAATCACTTCAAACACCATCAGAAAGTCTCAAAAGAACGTGTCACAAATGCAGTAGTCACTAGAATATTGTGAGTGATGGAGGGGAAAAAA